ACCTGAGTCTGCAGATTTTTTCCCAAGCCAGTAACTCCAGCCCCCTCTGGTTCCGAGCAGATCAAGGGTAGAAAAGAAAGTTGATTTTAATCCCCAAGGGGATTAAGAACCCCATGAGTGATTAAATGAGACTTCTGTCTCAAAAAGGATAAATTACTGTACCACCTCAGAGTTGGGAACCGTTTTTACAGTGGTCTGTGCAGTACAAAGTAGATTAGACGTATCTCCATTTCGATGATCATTAATGACTTTGCGATCACAGGGGAGATTGCATACTTCTGCTGCTTAGTCCTGCTAGGACAATGGAAATGGATTTTGTCTGACATTGGTCATACCTTAGCTATCTTTTCCCAGGAAACATATATAAATTTCAACTGAAGCTGAACTATTAATGCACTACCACCAGTATGAAGAGCTACATCCAAGGACTGATTGGCTCAAGGAATACCTGCAGGAAGATCACTGGCTCAATATGGTGACATCAGAATTGTTAATGTAGGCACTCTGACTGCAGAATTGACAGAGAATGTTAGAATTCCAGAGACAGGAAGAAATGGCTGAAATGGATTGATAATGTCCACTTGTAATCACCACAATTACAGATTTTTGCATTCAGACATTCAGTTTGGTGGTTCCTGCTAGACTTAACAGAATTGGTTTCCCATTTATACAGTGAAAATTCCTGTTCAGAATCATGATTTTTGAGATAATGATTAAACGTATCTTTGAAGAAAATGTAATACCACCCAGATCATGAAATGATGAAACAGTTATATGTGAACTGGCAGTCATCCCCTGGTTCCCATCCCAAGTCTTTATGGACCATTAGTCAATGGATGGAATTTTATCACTTTCATTATTGATTAACCCTTTTAATAATTTTTAAAAGAAAGAATGCCAAAAATGTTGTGATTCTAGTCTCTGAGTGTGAATATTTGCTGGGCATTTTTTTTGCCTTCTGTCATATTAAACAGAATATTTTTGGGTTGTGGACTGTTGGTTGTACAGAACCAAAAAATGGAACACATGATTGTGAGTGGGTATGTTTCACTGTTTTCTGACATTCTAGACCAAATAATTATGAGATAAATCAAGAAAATTATGATAATGAAGAGAATTATTAGTTGCATCCCTAATTATATCAAAGATACAACATTAGATATTCACTGCAAATGCAAATGTTCAGTATCCTCTCCTGGCTACTAAAGTATGATTAATGTTTTTATGGCCATTTTTAGGGAACTCAAATGACTTCGTTAAGCCTAGGGAAAGACTATCATCTTGTTGAATGTTGAAAATGTCTATAGTGACTTGAAGAAGGAGACAGGATGTAAATACTACTGTTGAAGTGCTTTGTACACCCACTCTCTATCACTCTATGACTGCAGTATATATACTTCACACTGCTTCCTATTCCAAAAAAATTGCCAGTGAATATAATCCAGGCAACTAGATTGTAATATGAGACATGGTTGATTTGTTCACACCTATGAGAAGACTGACTACAAATGTCTTTATCATAAGTGATATCCAGCTGCCTGTGCTTACCAGGCAATTGAGTTTCTACTCAAACACACATGCTCGCTCTCTCTCTCTCTCTCTCTCTCTCTCTCTCTCTCTCTCTCTCTCTCCCCACACACACACACACACACACACACACACACACACACACACAGCCTACTGAGACATGCTGTTACTCACCACTGTCTCTGCATCATCAGCACTATGCAGACTTTCAGGGGAAACAGCACTTTGTCTCTTTATCTGTGTATCTGTCTATTGACAGTGAAGCATTGGCAGGGCTCAGGAACCAAACTGTTTGTGTGGAAAAACATTAGAAAGAGTTGAGTTAACCTTTACTGGAAATGTGTGGGGCATGAAAGAAACTGCTCCCTTGCTCTGTGAGATATTGTCTTCACACAATTACTGCATGCAGATGGTTGCTACTGGATCTATCTTTGTTGATAATGTGATAACTGTAGGATGAATTCTGAAATGCATGCTCTTCTAACAAGATAAAGTCCTTAAACACACAATACTGCAAAAATAAACCAGTGGACAAAAAGTTGTAACAAAGTGGAATGTGCTTTACTGGTTGGGTTAAGTCAGTCACATGACCTAAATCCAACATGTGTTTCATTTGCTTAATACAAGATTTTAACCAGGGTATGTTTTCATTAGTGTATAATAACCTCATCATCGTTTTGGTTTTGTTACCTTAGATTGAGTTGAGTGACCTGAATGTGAGCTGAGACAAACCAAAAACTGGCTCTAGATAGGACATTTTGTGGCCACCGTAGTTTCTCCCTCGTGCTTGGACAGTGAAACGAGTGAATTTTTGGGGGCATGCACAACCAATAGGCCTGAGAGTCTAAAGCCATACAAGGAGCTCTGTGAGGCAGTATTTAGGCACAGCAGTGCTTTGAGCTAAATAGTAAAGTTAGCATGCTAACATGCTCACAGGGGAGGGTATGTATGTTCCTCTAGAACTGTGGAATATGGGACCCTGGGAACATAGGAATAATAACCCCACTCAAAGTGACAATGCTATCAGGCTAATGTTACAGGTAATGCTTACCATTTTCCCTGTATTAGCATTAGCATTCAAAAATTTGCTAATAAGCACTAAACACAAAGCACAGCTGGGGCTGATGTCATTATTTTTGCAAGTATGTTGCCATAAAGTATTTCAGGGAATCAGCAAAGTTATTACAATTGAACCTGTGAAGCGCATGAATGGCTGTACCAAATGTCATGGCACTCCATCCAGTGGTTGTTGAAATATTTTAATCAAAACAAAAAATGTGAGCCTCTAAGCACAAATGTTTGTCAAAATGTTGTGACAATCCTCAATTCACTGGATGAGTGAAAACTGACCTGCTCCTGGCACTAGATGAAATGTCCCAGGATCACCAGAGTCTGTAGTTACCAACCGATGCTGGCATCCCTAGAGCCACGCCACTATCTTGCCTGAAAATGATTAATTCCAACTTGGCCCACTGATCATAAACCATAATCAGTGACCTGAACTGTCTCAAATTCAAGCTGACCACCTGCACTTCAGTCATTGCTTCATTTAAAATCAATCTGAAAAAGACAGCCAAATTGAATCACTGTTCAAATACTTTCTGACTATTGTTAACATATTGTATCTATTCTGAATGTCTGATTGGCATCCACACACCCACACTTTACCCTTTGGCAACAAGAAATCACATCATGACATATGGTTTATTTGCATTTTCTTTTGCATTCTTTTGCAGCGTCATGAACTGTCTACACATGTCTACTGTATAGAAATGAAACGCCACAGGCACCTTTTGTGGTGAAGTCCGGGCTGAACAACTGAGCTACATAAGTTCTGTTGTATTATGTCTATGTGAGCATGTGGGAGTATTCTGTGCATATAGTGGCCATGTTCTTTTGGTAGTAAGGACCAGGGATGGTAAGATTCTGACTTAAAAGTTTAAGCTGCGATTGTGCTTGTTAAAAAGTGGGCACCAGATACAATCTCTAACATCTTTGCATTGGTAAAATACGATTTATCTGTATATAATTATTAGTAGAGGCTTTTCTGCCTTTATTGTTTAGAAATGTGACCAATCATTTTATATTTAGATAGATTCCTCTCTGATTAGGGTTAGGGTTAGGGGTTATGCACGTAGTTACTGGTATCCATTAAATGGACGGCACTTATATAGCACCTTTCTAGTCCACCGGCCACTCAAAGCACATTCACCCATTGGCACACATTCATACACTGATGCATAGCATCAGGGACAATGTGGAGTTCAGTGTCTTGCCCAAGGACCCTTCAACATGCAGCTGGCCAGGGATTGAACCACCAACTGTCTGATTAGTGGATGACTTGCTCTACCCCCTGAGCCACAGCCGCCTCCACCTTACTGTGCACACCTTAGGCATGCTGCCAAGACTCAGCATTGTGGTCAAGTAAACAAAAACATCTTCTGGGTCATCAAGTGGTTGCCCTCTTTCCTTTGTGTTTCACTCATAGACGAGACTACAACACCTCCAGAGGGTTCAGCAGTGAATCCCAGCATCCCAGGCTCACCCTCTAGATGCCCTCAGCTCACTTGAGGCCCTTTGAAATAAAATCAAACTACATATTGAATTTCATAGCATCATATCCTTTTCATTCATCGTATCGTGATGAATCACATTGTGATGATACAAATTGTACTGCATCGAAAGAGGTGTGAATCCTATCATATTGCATTGGTAGCTGCTTTCTTTGTATCTTGAATGTATCTGATCATTGGCAGTGCATCAAGATGTGTATCCAATCTGCCTCAGTAATGAAGTTCCACATCCCTAGTAAGGACATGTGTCCACCACTAAACCAGATGAATCTGAAAACCCATCCTTACCTAAGGTTGTTTTGGCCTTCTTTCTGTGCCAACACTGGATTCTCCAGCCATGAAAATGGACAAACATTGACAACCTTGCATTGTAGTGTAGATGAGGACACTGAGCTTTATTAAAACAATGGCATGCTATTGAGAATCCAAGCATGAAGGTCCAAGATGTAGCAGTGTTTGTTTTGACATGTCTCCCTGTGGATATTCTTCGGTGACCTTGAGTTTGTTTATTGCATTCAATAGCTGTTCCACTTCAGCTGTCACACTCATTCTTGATCTGTACACTGACTGTGTTAGAAACAAACAATACTTTGAAAGAGGTTAAAAAAAAGTTATTAAACAAATGAATAAAAGTATTTTTCATCCCTTCTTCTTCTTCTGTCTTTGGTGTAAAGTTAAGCTGCTGACTGGCTCAAGTGCCCTGCTGTTTTGTTGTTTCAGAACTTTAATTAAATGACCTCCAAATATGCTAGCAAGACAGCAAATCCCCAGTTGCAGGTGTAAAATTAGACATGTCAGCAGATAATGAAGCATGGCTGACCTCTGTTCTTTCTTTCTCACCTCTATTACCTCTCATCCTTCTCTTTCGTTCCTGTCTTCCCTGTTCCCTTCCTCCCACAGACAGAGAGCTGGCATGGACAATAAGGCGCTGGAACCTGACTCTGTGAGTATCCCCATGGAGGATGCCATTATGTGTAATGGAGGCAGCCAGCCTCAGCAGCAGGAAGCATCCATGTTGATCCACCTGAAGAAGGTTGAGAACCAGATCACTGAAGCACAGCGCTTCTCCCACCTACCCAAACGCTCAGCCGTGGACCTGGAGTTTGTTGACCTCTCCTACACCATCCAGGAAGGACCATGCTGGAGGAGGAGAGGTAACAACCATCTATACATTTCACTACACTACACTACATACATTTCATAGACTGCATAAAGGCAAGGTACTATATAATTGTTACAAATACGAAGGAAGTCAGACTCCCTGTTAATAAGAAGTCTCTAATACACATGTTCTATGAGCCCAATAACTCGGAAGCCCAAGGAAAAATGTTGGTGTATGCGCCCAGTGAGCCAACATTGGAATGAATAGGGTGCCATCTTGGAAGATGGTATTCAGTTCTCTTTATAGATCCATGGTCTGAATTGTGTTGAAAAGATAAAAGCCTAAATGTTGCGCACTGAAGTGCACACCAATTTTCACTTCTCCCACAATGCAATGGTGATGTGATATTGATGTATATGAAGGTTTTGCAAACTTACATCTGTCTGTGATGATGCAAAATGATGACGATTCAACAAAATACAACAAAATATGGTTAATAGACCGTTTCCGTTTGATGCTGGCACAGTTTGCAGTGTTCCTTTACAACCAATGTAAGCTAACGTAGTGGCTGCTATCCATGCTAGCATCTAATGGTAGCTTCATATTTAGAAATCATGAAGATTTGGAACATAGTGATCATATGGATGGACAGTAAAAAAGGGGTCTGTGCTGCAGGAGTGATTTGAAAGGTTTCTTTGGTGATACAGTCCATGAAAAGATTCAAATTCATTGTAAGTAACCAGAATTCAAGCTGACGACATTTTGCAGACAACTTTCAAACCTACAAGGGGTCTCTTTTTGATAATATATGGATACATTTTGGGTGAATTATTACTTTAAAATGATACAAGAAAAAAGAAATCTTCAAATGTCATGTGTAGTTCTGTGTGTGATGTCTAGTCTGCTCACACTTCAGTTGTGTTATGAGTTGTGGATCAGTGGTTCACAAGGGTTGAGCTACACCTTTAAAAACTAAACATGTGTGTAGAGTGGACTTTACTCAGTGGACAATGAGCCATGCATGAGTCACCCTATATATGGGTCACACAAGTGCCATCAATGATCAAGGGCTTGATTGAACACATAAAGCCAATTTCCAGCAGATCATTACAAACACATAAGAATAATATAGTTCCATATATGCTACAACATTAACACATTCTCATGCAACTACTGATATATAAACAGTACATACAAATGTTAGCTTGGACATTGGGAATGGGAGCAACTGGTGTAGAAAGACAATAGAGTTACAAAAACAGGTCATATGTAATTCTTCAAGGTCCAGTGTGTAATATTTAAGAAGATCTATTAGAAGAAATGGAATATAATTCATGGCTATGTTTTATGTTAACCATAGAATGAGCCCTTTTTATCTACAGACACTACAGGTTGCCTTCGATGGAGTCCGCCATGTATAACCACCATGTTTCTACAGTAGCCCAGAACCGACAAATCAAACACTGGTTGTAGATAGTTTTGCGGCCCCCGTAGTTTCTCATACACACTTCACAGCCAATTCTCATTCCCAGGTCTTTAAATACAGACACCAGCAAACTGCAACTTCACTGATAATCCCAAACACTGGTCCTTTAAGCCACTTGGGTGTAGAGTTTAAGGTAAAATATATTTCTGGACAGAGAATTGCACTTTTGTGTTCATTAATTCTAATTTTAACTTGTCCCTATGTTTCCTGCGTATTGGACGCCACATTTGGTACATGCAGGAATGTAGACAACAATTTATTTTAATTTTATTTATTTATTTATTTTAGTCATAAAGCTGGTTTGTGTGTTTGCAAAAGTGTTTTTGCAATTAGAACATGCTGCACAATTTCAACAAGTAAAGAAACCTGTGGAATTGTCCAAATGTCCCTGATGGTTCTTTAGTGTGTCTGCATGTACCAACATTCTTTGTTCTGGAAAAGAGGAAGAAAAGTGAGAGAGTTAAAGATCTCTTTATCAATGTCATCAGTAGATTAAATGTCCCAGTGTTTTTTCACAGCATTACGTTTGTCATGCCCACATGCTGAATAAGTTGAATAAGTTATGGATCAGATATGGTAGCTCTTAGGACACAGTTTTGCAGACGCCCAGTGAAAGTGGCCAGGAATAAAAAGTGGAAGCTTAATGTCAGCCTCACTCTGTTGCTTCTATCTGGCCCATTAGCTATGTTGAGGTAAATAACTAACCCCAGTTTGGCCTTGCAGTAGCTCTGTCCTCTGCAAGTAGCAGGAAAATCCCCTTACTGGACATATTTCTCTTTCTTATCCTCACTTACTGTTCCTTCCTGCCCTTTATCTATTCAGAAATACCACTAAATTAAACCAATAGCCACATCACTGACTGCCTGACTGACTGAGGCCTCCAGCGGTGAGTGCTGAACCGATGCTTACAGTTATTGTAGCAAAAAGCCTGATCTTTATTGATCTTTCTTGTCGGGATCGTTTCCCCACATAGAGACAGAGGGTACAGAAGAGAGAGCAGGGATGATTGTTTCTGACACATTGCCCTCCCCAGGATCCATCAGTGTCCATGGACTTCATAGAGGATCAATAAATGCTGCACAGTGGAGTCAGAGACAGAAAGATACAGATGCAGTAGCTATGCACATGCTATCATGGTGTGTATTTCAATGAATACAGATCGAAGTCATTTACTTTTTTAACCTTTTGCAGTGAAGGTAATCATCCACATCTCAGGCTTCAATCCATGCACCCTCTGTTAAATGCCAACACTGAGGTTAGCACACAAAACTAAGATGTAACCATGCACTGCACAGTTGTTAAGTTGTTATATTTATAGCAAGATAGTTTAAATTGCAGTTTTATATTAAGGGACAATGGAGCACCAGCATCTCAGACCAAAATAATGGGACAGAAACTAAGTAAAACTCACAAAAAACATCTTTCTTAGTCTTTCCACAGTCTTTCCAATAATCACCAACTCTGGTTTGGTTGAAATAAACCCTTAATTTTAGGAGTTAGATGAGAAAACAGCCGCAAAATGGGCTGCTATGGCTGCCATGTAATGTTAGCTAATGCTTTCAGACAAATGTGCTGTCATTTCCACTAAAAGGTCCTGTTTTTTTCACTGACAGGCTCAGATTGTTATTCTAACTGTTGGGTCTCTGTAAATGTTATAAGGAGTTCTGTCTAGACCTGCTCTATTTGAAAAGTGTCCTGAGATAACTTCTGTTATGAATTGCCGCAAAAAAAAAAAATTGAATTGAATAGATAAATAGATAGATACTTTATTTATCCCGAGGGAAATTCAAGCATTCAGTAGAGGCGTACAAACATACATTAGACATACATTAAACATACATTAAAATAGAAAACTATACAAAAAGTAAAGTAAATAAAATAGCTTTTATTAAACTATGTGCAATTTAAAATTAGGCTGTCGACCAATGAATGAAAGTCACAGCATTTAGCAGAGGTAGTGCAGAAATGACAGTGAATGAAAGAATGTCCAGGAAAACATGTACAAATGGAGGAGGAAATTGTCCTTTGTCTATTGTCCTCCCTGTCTTGACTAAGAGCTGTTCTGGAGCTGGACTGGGACAGCAGTCTGCCACTGAACACACTCCTCTGCCTGGTGATGGTGTTGTGCAGAGGGTGGTGAGCGTTGTCCAGTATGGACAGCAGTTTGTCCAGGGTCCTTGTTTAACCAGAAACAGCTATAATATCACTCTCCACCAGACTCTATAGACAAAAACATCAACAATCATTTCACCTTGAATATCATTGTAAGACTTCATTCAAATTGAAAAGAAACAAATTAAAAGTCCCAAAAACTGTATTTGTTAGTGTTTTCACTCTTCCAACAATCACCAACTCTGGTCTGGTTGAAATAAATCCTTAATTCACTAATGTAGATGAGAACACTGGTTCTCAGTCTTGGGTTCCTGACCCCCACTCAGTGTCACCAAAGCTTCATGGGTGGTCATGAGGCCTTTTTGATTTTAAGGGGGTGTAAGAAAACTTAAATAATAATACATAAATAATATAATAAATAAATATAACTGACCTATATCGCATTACATTCAATTCTTTGAAGAAAACTAAATGAAAGTGCTAGTTTAGATCATGACTTATGATTGAAACAGGATAAAGGCACGGTGAAGACCTGAACACAAGCTATAGCAACAAAATCATTGACAAACTCTGATAAACCGCCTAGTCCTGATGCAATACTCACAGGAAATAATCTGCTAAAAATTCATCTAAATCACTTGTTTTACGCGAACTTCCTGCAGTTATTGTACAGTTTATCAGTTATTCTCTACTGTTATTGTTTTGCATTGCATTTAATTTACAATTTTCACAAAATATTAAGGACCTTAAGGAAAAAGGTTGGGAGCCACTTACTGAGCATGATTTGGACCCCCACTATGTGTGTGACAGTACCTGATGCTTCCCATTGAAAATGTGAAGGAAGCACCTGTGAGCTGCTCTTTATCAGAGGTGGGGAAGTTAGCCAGACACACATTTGCCAAGCCAACTAGATAGTCTTTAGAGTTGAAGTTTTTTCTCAGAACATGTCTGTTAAGCATACATTGCACCTTTGTAAGGCTTGTCCACATACTCCTCCAGCACTGCCCCAACAGGCCCAAACCTAAACCAGTCCAAAACATGTACAGAATACTGTACACCTACCAAAATAATAGTAATAAAATAATGTTCACCTTGAGAAAATATTTAGTGTTTCAGCCACATAACACAAAACATTTAGAGTAGTGTTTATCATTTCTCCCAAGAGAGCATAGGGACCTGAGACCCAAGTATCAGTGTTCGGGATATCTGTACAAGCAGTTGTGTAAGACTGTGAATGTGAGTTACATGCTGTAAACTAGCTGGGCCTCCATGAGTGTGATGTTAAGTGTGTGCTGTGTGCATGTGTTTGAGTATGTCCTCTGAGGTTTCCAGTAAGTGCTGCATTGTCTGGGACAGTTTAGGTCATCAATAATGTAGTGGACTGGAGAGGAGAGGAGAGGAGAGGAGAGGAGAGGTGAGGTGAGGTGAGGTGAGGTGAGGTAGGGTGAAAGTGTGTGCCACCAGACATAAATATAAATTCTCTTCCAGCTTTAAAGAAACTGCGAGAAGACACTTACTGTAGACAAATGATAAATGCGTTTTACTTTTTTATTGATGTGTTGCTGAGTTTGAGTCTTTTGAGATTTTTACAATTTTACTCTGACTGTGGTTTTGATGGGCTCTGTCTCCTTTCATCAATCAATATATCCAACTTTTAATAAATATACAGCTGAGGAAGTGAATGATAAATATGTTCATGCACTTACTATACCTCTTAGGTATGTTTTAATCCATGAATAGAAAGAAAGAAAACTAGCCATCTATTTTAAGAATTAGCAATCATCAAAGTCTACCTAGGGGCCATACTAAAGGTGAAAAGGGTTAAAAGTTTAACGCTATGAAACTTCCTCAGTTGATTATTTTCACATTACATTTAAGACAATTATTTTTGTATTACAAGTTTCCGGAAGCTTTATGTTTAAATATACACATGAGGCATTAACTATAAAAATGTGTTAATTTGCATACATTTCCAGAATAAATAACATTGACCTGGATAAAGCAGGTTTAAAATTCTTACTTCATTATGTTGACATATTAGAATAAAAGGTTTTTACAGAGGGAATTTGGGGTATTTCTTTTTATGACTTCATAAATCAGAAAAAACAGCCATTAAATAAACCCATTTCACTATGTTTAGTAATAAAATCATCTTCATCTTCATCTGCTTCTCCGGGGTCGGGTCGCGGGGGTAGCAGGTCCAGCAGAGGACCCAAAATTCCCTTTCCCTGGCCACATTGGCCAACTCTGACTGGGGGATCCCGAGGCGTTCCAAGGCCAGTGTGGAGATATAATCTCTCCACCTGGTCCTCGGTCTGCCCCGTGGCCTCCTCCCAGCTGGACGTGCCAGGAACACCTCCACCTGGAGGCACCCTGGAGGCATCTTCACCAGATGCCTGAACCACCTCAACTGGCTCCTTTCTATGCAAAGGAGCAGCAGCTCTGCTCCAAGTCCCTCGCGGATGACCGAGCTTCTCACCCTATCCCTAAGGGAGACGCCGGCCACCTTCCTGAGGAAACCCATTTCGGCCACTTGTACCCACGATCTTGTTCTTTCAGTTATGACCCATTGCTCATGACCATAGGTGAGGGTTGGAAGAAAGATCCGGTAGATCGAGAGCTTCCCTACCCAGAGTAGACAATCGACCGGTTTCCTGCTGAGAACCATGGCCTTCGATTTAGAGGTGCTGATTTTCATCCCAGCTGCTTGGCACTAAGCTGCAAACCGATCCAATTAGTGCTGAGGGTCACAGGCCGATGATGCCATCAGGACCACATCATCCGCAAAAAGCAGCTATGTAATCCTCAGCCCACCGAACTGCAACCCCTCCCTCCCACAACTACGCCTCGGTATCCTCTCCGTGAAAATCACAAACAGGATTGGTGACAAAGCGCAGCCCTGGCGGAGGCCAACACCCACTGGAAACAACCAGGACAACCAGGACAGAACCCGCACTTTCCCAGGGAGGCTGAGTAGTGTGATGCCTCTATAGTTTGCACACATCCTCTGGTCCCCCTTTTTAAATAGGGGAAGGCGTGGCTCCACGTACTTTCATGGGGTTTTTCTGTGAACCATTCTTAGTCTGGCCCCTTACCTGAGACCACTTTGTCTTGGGAGACCCTACCAAGACAAAGTGGCATATTGCTCCAGACAACACAGCTCTCAGGTTCATAGAAGCACCCAAACCTCTCCACAACGGTAAGGTGATGGTTCCCGGAGAGGTAGTAATAGAATGTAATATAAATCAGTCTTGAAATGATATATGAAAACTTTCAGAATATAGATAGTAATAATACTGGAAGGTTTGGTGTATGTGCTACTGAAGTGGTGATTTCTGGCTCATAGTGTGAGAAAAAAATAATTTTAAGAAAAACTTATTTAAAGATATGTAAAATCCCAAGATACAACCCTTGTTGATTACTTACATTAAAACAATTATTTTTTGTTAAGTTTTTTGAAATAAATATGTAAATGAGAGGTACTATCTCATGCTAACTTTAGGAGAAATCTACAACACAAAGTGTAGTAAAATAAACTCCTTTCACTAGTCTGTAAGAAGATATGTTGTGGAAGAAAAAACTAAAATTTTAATAGTCCATGAAAAAAACATGGTCTTGCCTGTGGTGTTTCGCCTTACCCTCCTTGCATGAAATACAAAAAATATTCTGAGGTTCAGTAAAAGCATGACTGAATGCAGCTTAAGCTTAAACTTACTGTTGCCTCGGTGCACAGTTATTTCTTAAAAATGTGGCGAATGTTTTATTTAAATTTAGTAACTCTCACAAGTTTGTACAAATTCAGCAATTATGTTTTTAATATCTAAGACTGGGGCAACCAACACGTAGCTAAGTGCCAAGATGACAGCAGAAAATGTAGAGCTTGTAGCTACAGGTATGATAAGAATGTATGAGTTAACAATCCTTTTATGTTCAGATGCAGTTACCGTAAAACTTCCAAAAAAAGCAGGGTCCCTTATAGACGCAGGTCTTTATAGAAATTATCTCAATGTATAAAACCTCTTAAAACCCACCAGGTTGCCCACTTGAGCGAATTTTAAGTCATTTTAATCTCCTACACTAATATAAATGTTTAAACTTCTTTCAATATGTACATGCTGCACATCATTAGATCATTTATAGATTCTCCACAATTCAGTTGTTCACTATATTTTACAAAAACAATCAACAACAAAGTATAACGTTAATTCATTCTGACTTACCGGTAACATGAGAGAAGGAAAAAAACTCTGAAGCAATCATAATAATCATGTTAGTTGTCAAATTTGCTGAACAAAACTCAAGAGAAGTAAATGGTAAATGGTAAATGGTAAATGGACCTGTACTTGTATAGCGCTTTTCTAGTCTTCCGACCACTCAAAGCGCTTTTACACTACAAGTAGCAGTTAGTTTAGTTTAGTTTTGTGCTAAAGGAATTAAACGCCTGTCCCAAATAGACACCTGTCCCAAATAAAGGCAGGGGGAGTTCAGTGATTTAAGCAAATAAACGCCTGGGCTATTATTAGAAGTTTTACAGTATAAAATAAGATTAAAATTAAAATTTGTCAAACTTTAGATCATCAGGTTCCAATCCTCACAGATTTTATTGTTTTTATTAGTGTTTTTCAAAACACACTATAGCAAGAAGTACAGATCTTATTCCTAGTAGCAAAGAAGCAACTACAATGATGAGATGTTTTAAGACATACAGTATCCCAAACAGGAATCTGAATGGGACCACCATGCTTGGACTGTGATAGCAAGAATCTTTATTAATGTGAATTAGTGATGAATCACCCCCGTATGCATGAATCATACATCAATAGTAGCCTAAATGTACACATGATCCATGAAAATAAAGATACAGAAATATAGACATGCATGGCAAAAATAGCATATTGTCAGTATTTTAGAGATCCCCAAAATTTCACATATCATGTTTTCTCATGTCTCATTAAGAGGTGCCCAGCTCCCCCTGGCTCCCCTGTAGTTCACACCCTGCTGTCAGTTTTACTTAATCAACATGTGCTATTGATTGAACATCCATTATCCTGTCCAGGATGACAGGAGCCAATCCAAGCATGCAATGAGCCATAGTCAGGGTAAACTCAATATAACGCTCAGCGCTGGGACGCTCAAATTGCAGACATGGTGACATGTTGTGTCCTCTCTGTTGGTGGAAAGTTAGGACTGATAGAACAGCTATTTATGGATTTCAGTTCCAGCGACATAAAGTCTAGTTGTTGTAGCATAGGATGGTCACTGCTCCTTTCAAGGTTAAATAATATCTTGTTGAAAGCTGATGCAGGTGAGTGCTTAGAGGTAGACTTGAGTGTCCACACTTAGGGACTGGTTCTATTCCTGTTCGACAGAGAGGAAATTCTGTAGCTGGATTTTTCTGACATATCCAACATACTGAATACATTTTTCACAGATATTTCATACTGAGCCTTCAGGAGAGCAGATGTGAAAGTTGATCTTGTTTGTACTGATTAAGGCTAGAAAAGTCAGTTACGGTGTTTGGATGTACCCTGATTTTAGGTGAGAAATAGGCAAAGCAGTAAGAGAATCTTGATCCAGCACTGCCTAGTTGGACAGTTGATCTGAGTTTGGTGTGTTGAGCTGAACAGACTCACTGAGAATGATCTGTCAATCACAAGGTATCCCCGCCATAAAGCATACTCTGCTTTATGGTCTAATTTACTCTAAATCGGACCATCATTTACTAAATAAACATCATCAGGCTGTATGGAAGAAGACTGAAACTAGAGATTGAGACCATAAACTCATTAGGAAACTGTTTACTGAGCTCATAAATCAAGTGAGAAGTCTTAATTATTTCTCCATAAGACTCAATACTATGACTTCTTGTGTCAATTTTAGTATTTTTGTTGTGTTAAGTGTGTGTTTTCAGTTGTAAGTGACACTTGTGCTTTAGTATATTGATGCAAACACAGAGAGTGAAGGTGGGGATGTGATACTTTCCTTGTCATTGTTGATGAAGCCATGCTGAGTCGATCAGTGACCATCAGTTCCTCTTTTGTTGTCCCCAGGTTTCAAAGCCTTACTAAAGTGCCTGTCTGGGAGGTTCTGCAATCGTGAGCTGATAGGAATCATGGGGCCTTCGGGGGCTGGGAAATCCACCTTAATGAACATTCTGGCTGGATACAGGTAAGAGTGCCAAAATGACCTCTTATTTTACATTTAAAGTTCCAGTGTGTAACATTTAGGAGTATCTATTGATCTATTGGACATTCACAGGCATGACATAACATTCATATCTTTCTGCTGAGAGTTGCACATGCACAGTACAGATCATGCATCGGTTTTTCGCTCACAGCCACCATTGTTTCTCCTAAATGCTTCACAGCCCATTCTGATTCTCAGGTTGTCAGACACGAGCGGTTCAGTTGGTTGCAATCTGCAACTTCACTGCTAGATGCCACTAAATCCTACACACTGGTTTGAATGGTTTGCATCCTGTCCTCAATATTATGAGACAAAGTAGCTCTTTTTCATCTAGAAGAGCCATTGTGGACCCTAACCCTAACCAAACATAGGTTATCAGCACAATGGAGAAATTAGCTTTCATCACATACATCTATAGCATAGATACTGCAATATATAACTGGTGTATTACTATGTATTTTTATATCACATGTTCAGTCTATTCCTTCTATTAAAGTCTGTCCAACCCATTGAACTGTCCACTGTGTGTGTTTGTGTCTCCTTCCTGCTGCCCAGGGAAACAGGGATGAAGGGTCAGATCCTGGTAAATGGGAAACCCAGGGACCTGCGGAAATTCAGGAAAATGTCCTGCTACATCATGCAGGAAGACATGCTGCTGCCACACCTCACTGCACGAGAGGCCATGATGGTGAGCTGTTACTGATACTGGCTCATAGCACAGTCTGTCTGAGCTTGTAATGAAAAGGTCTATAGTTATTGTGCCAAGATGCAGCAAGGATGGGCTTCTGACCTGAGCCTGCCACCTATTTTCTCTCCCTGTGCCGTTGTTGAATAACTGTTGCATTACAAGATTCAGATTTTTTTCCTCCTTGCCACAGGTTTCAGCCAACTTAAAGCTGGATGAAACTATGGATGTGAAGAAAAAACTGGTGAGCTAAACAAACATCTACTAGATTAACATGTACATGAAAACCTCCTGCTCTTCTCTATACTATCAAATAAAAGTAACTCAACGAAAACTAACATGTCTCAGAACATGATAAAAGCCCTGGAATTCTGGGGAAAAAATGTTTTGTTTTGTTTTGTTTTATGCATTAGTTAGTGCTTTTATATTAACAAATTGAATGACTTTGTTTGATGTGAAAGGGGTTGCCTGTAGTGATGGCCCCACAATAATCTTTACACAACACTACAGTTCCCCTCAGCCCTATGAAACACTAAAGTGTAATTCAGCTTCTTGTTTTGGCTTTACAGCCCACAACACTACTGTTTTCATTGACTCTTACACTCTAATAGCTTTTTTTCTAGCTGCAGCAGGCAACTATTTCCAGAGGTGAACAAAGTGGAACATTTATCAGCTAAAGAAACAGAATTCTTAATTGCACTCATGAGGCACCGTCCCTGCTAGACCCGGAACAGTAACACATACAAACACACGCCTACATCCCCTATAAGCCATAGTATTGCAGGTACAAATGTGAAAATAAAGGTTTCTATGTGGTTATTGACAGGCTGTGAATCCCCTTCTGTCTCTCTGACTGTCTCTGTCCAGGTGAATGAGATCCTGACTGCATTAGGGCTCCTTGAGTGTGCTCACACTCGTACCAGCTCGCTGTCAGGTGGTCAGTGTAAACGTCTGGCCATTGCCCTCGAACTGGTCAACAATCCTCCAGTAATGTTCTTTGATGAACCCACCAGGTGAGACAGACTGACCCTGATGTGCTGATGATGGTCCAATTTAGACTTAAAAAACTGTCCAATAATAGATATTAAACTTCTCTATAACCCTCTCTATATTAAGTCAATAGACTAATGCTGGTGTATCCAGAGGAAGCAGTGTGTTCCAGCTGAGGTTGGAATATAGTACAAAATGTTTAGAGTTGTGTTTTTCTAAAAATATAGTTTTCGGTCAATGTGAACACTGGGATTGGAAATTTGAATCCTTATGTTCTGGAAAAGTCAAGCACATCTGGATATCTGCATATTCATAATGTGTCTTATGACAGTGGACATATGGTGTTGGAATGACTTTTGAAACCCTAACAATTATACTCATAATTACAGTGGGACGTCTGGCAAATATGAACAGCTGGACACTCTGGGACCCCTTGCTCTCTGACAAGTGAACTCTTGCGGAGACAAATATGAATAAAACAATCACAATAACTCGGCAGAGTTCTAGAAGTTTCCCTAATGGAATTTCTAATAATGACTAAAGTAGTCCTTGACAAGATAAACGCCACCTTCAATGTGTCTTCTTGGGTTTTCTGTAGTTATCCTCAGCAATCGGAAAGTATTCTTAAGTCATTATAATGAGAAACATTCCCAAAATACTTAGTATCTCAAAATAATGAGAAACTGAATATTTTGATTTAGTATCTCAAAATAAGGACTAATAAACTCTTACTGTAATAAACAAACACATTTTGTCCCTGCTGTATGTCTTCTCTCTGTTCAGTGGCTTAGACAGTGCGTCATGCTACCAGGTGGTGTCGCTAATGCGCTCTCTGGCTCTGGGAGGACGGACCATCATCTGCACCATCCACCAACCCAGTGCCAAACTGTTTGAGATGTTTGACAAGGTACAAATCAGTGTCAGTAAATGAGGAAGTGAATGGATGACTGGACATTGTAGTTTCTGTTTCTTTCATGAGAAGCTGTGGTGGATGCTAATACTGTAGTATTTAATACAGCTGTAAAAAGAATAATAAATAAATGACAGCTTCTGTCAGTTTTTCCCTTGAATTATTTTGTTCCTCCACAGCTTTACATTCTCAGTCAGGGACAGTGTATCTACAAAGGCACAGTCCCTTACCTCATCCCCTATCTGAAGACTCTGGGGCTCTATTGTCCCACCTACCACAACCCTGCAGACTTCAGTATGTCCACTTCACATTCATTCATGTGTTTGCTGAGGATGATCTGAAACATATCTAATCCCTTCATTATCTGTGCGTCTCTCTGCTCTTGCCTCTGGTTCAGTCATTGAAGTGGCATCCGGAGAGTATGGAGACTTGAACCCGGTTCTGTTTGAGGCAGTCCAAGGTGGAATGTGCGCATTAGAGGAGAAGAAGAACCAATGCGATAACAATGGTCCGTCAGTCTGTGCAACAAAGTGCCCGATGGTGAGTAGTAGGTGATGTGCTGCTCAAGGTTGGAGCAAATGTCCTAGGGCCTCAGACCTTTAGGGGACCCAAAGTGAACACTGGCTCACTGTGTGACAATTATTTAGTATTTACTTGAGCAGATTATGAAACCAGAAAGATTTGTCCCTAAGGCAATGATTATTAGCTATTAAATATTGGGCTCCATCTTGTCTTGTGTTAAAGTCAAGTTTTAATACCTTTTTTATTTTCAGTTGATATCATGCACGTGATTCAAAGGAAATACACTTACTGGCTTACTATTCGCTAATTTCTTGCCAAGTTAGATGATGAGAGTTAAGACCACTCTCATGGTATATATAAAGCTAGAGCCTGCAATTAGTTAGCTTAGCTTAACTTACCTTAGCACAACAACCAGACATAAAGGGTAAAAAGCTTTCCTGGCTCTGTCCAAAGGTAACAAAATCCACTCACTAACACCTCACTAATGAACTAATGAACAGGTTATATCCTGTGTGTTTAATTCATAAGTGTAAAAGGCGTTCATTGTGGATTTATGGGGGGATTATGGATTCTCATCGTGCAAAACAACCATTTCTGACTCTAAATAGACCTTTTTTACAGCCGCCATTTTTACCTGAAATAGTAGGGTAAACACAGGTGTTACCAATTATACTGATTATTAGTTATTAAAGATAGAGATAACGGTGTCCTCACTCATCCCTATTCACAACTCAATAGCTGTATGTGCTGGTAGGTGGATTTTGTTGTCTTTGGACAGAGCCCAGCTAGCTGTTTTTCAGTGCTTGTGCTTAGCTAAGCTAACCATCTCCGGGCTATAGCTTCGTATTTAAACCACAGCCCTGAGCATGGAATCAGTGTTCTCATTTAACTCTCTGCGACAAAGCTCTATTTCCTAAAATGTCTAACCACTAAACTATTCTTCATTAATAAATGTATTTATCATTACACTGTCCCTAACTATCTCACACATAGGAAACATAGAGCCATTGTAAGTATTGCAGGGACAGAAAACAGGTTGCTTTCTGGGGCAAAATGGGCCCACAGGCTGTTAATCTGACAGAAGAACATTGTGTTGTGTTTGTGCAATTTTTGTTATGTGGGATGTAAATATAATTACCTGCTTCCATTTTCCCCAGGATGCCGGACCCATAGAGAGCCATACTTTTGCCACAAGCACACTAACACAGTTCTGTATCCTCTTCAAGAGAACCTTCATAACTATATGTCGAGACCAGGTAGGTGTCAACATTTGTTATTATTTAAATATTATGGCTGTGCACCAGTTACAAACACATAAAAACCAGATTAAGTCATCTTAAACTAAAGTGCTCTGCTGCTTTGTTCCGTTCTCAGGTTTTGACCCACCTCAGACTGATGTCCCACATTGCCATAGGTGTGTTAATAGGCTTGCTCTATCTGAACATCGGCAACGATGCCAGCAAGGTCTTCAACAACACCGGGTTCCTCTTCTTCTCTATGCTCTTCCTCATGTTCGGAGCACTCATGCCAACTGTGTTAACCTGTGAGTCTGTGAGGGGAGGGAGTTGTGCCAATCAATAATGTCCAATTTCGGGGCGCCCGGTTAGCTCAGTTGCTACAGCTGGTGACCCATGTACCGAGGCTGAGTCCTTGTGCAGCGGCCCAGGGTTCAAATCTGACCTGCGGCCCTTTGCTGCGTGTCATCCCCTATCTCTCTGCCCCCCTTTCCTGTCTATCTTCAGCTGTCACTATCATAAAGGCAATGAAAGCCCCAAAGATGACTAATAATGTCTAATAATGTCCAATTTCAACATCCCATATGTGAATTGATATATGTTAATGTTTTTATGCACCACCTGTTAGTTCCTCTGGAGATGTCTGTGTTCCTGAGGGAGCATCTTAACTACTGGTACAGCCTGAAAGCCTACTACCTGGCCAAAACCATGGCTGATATCCCATTCCAGGTGAGCTGGCAGTGTTAGGGTTGGAGGAGTGGGTTGGCTCACTGAGGACAGGAGCAACCTGTTACACACAGCAAATACATCTACATAGTACACCACTGCACTCTAGTGTTATTTGAAGGTACTACCTGGTTTTTGCAGTGGATTATTCTGCCAGCCTTTCTGCAGAGTTTGACCACTGTTGACTAGATTTTCTAATCAAGTTGACACTTCCAAAGTGGGGTGCCATGGTCTAAAAAAGTTAGGGAACCACTGTACAAGCTCATGTCCCAAAATCAACATTTTGTAACACACTGATTACAGTATGAGTCCAAAAGCCATTCTATTTGTATCTTTTGTATTGTACAAAATATTTTCTTGTTTTTAATGTGAAAGGTCACTTTTTAAACACTAATTTTGCTCCAAAATAATTGAAGACATTTCCTAACATGCCTTTATTGGAATTTATAAGAAGGAGGCCATTTAAACATCTTCAGTTGTTTGTGTGTGTGTGTGTGTGTGTGTGTGTGTGTGTGTGTGTGTGTGTGTGTGTGTGTGTGTGTTTGGTTGTAGCGTCAGCTTTAGTACGGTTTCCATCAGGGTATGTTTGATAAATCATTTTGGGGTGAACTGTTCCTTTACTAAATAAAGATTAATGAAGGTGTTATTTTAGGTGATCTGCCCCATCATGTACTGCAGCATAGTGTACTGGATGACAGAGCAGCCTCCTGAGGCCAGCCGCTACCTACTCTTTATAGCCCTGTCCACCTGTACTGCCTTGGTAGCCCAGTCCCTAGGATTGCTGGTTGGGGCCGCCTCATCCTCACTACAGGTACTGCAGGTTTGCATTGTTAAATACTATAGTATTGCTTGGTTCATGTTTTACATATAAGAAATAATATGTCCTCTGCATCCTTACACAGGTAGCCACATTTGTTGGACCTGTAACAGCTATCCCGGTGCTACTTTTCTCTGGATTCTTTGTGAACTTTGACACAATCCCCAAATATTTGCAGTGGAGCTCCTATGTGTCTTACGTCAGGTGTGTACCAGTATGAGTAGTTTTTTATTTGTTAGCAGTTTGTTAGCTCGTCAGTTGGTCTGTCCGGACCAAAATATCATATGTAATTCCTATTTATCAGTATGAACCAAGTCATTGTTTTCACAAGTAAGTTTGAAATGCACTCAAGTCCCAAGCCAAGTGCCATGTCCTAAACAACAACAAAACTGTGTTTGGTATCATTTTTAGGCACTTCATGGTTCTCCCCTGTATCTTGATTGGATGCTGTTTCATTTTGCTACAGAGCAAAACACTACCTTACTAGCTAGTTAAACTACATTAATTGTTACCTAGCTAGTTATAGCTAATGTTAGCAAAATGCTAGCTAACCAGCTAGCTAATTTACATCATTAATTATTTATGTTTTACTTACATCAACTAACTTAAGATGTGACTATATACACCGATCAGCTATAACATTGTGAGCACTGACAGGTGAAGTGAATAACTCTGATTATCTGGTTATCATAGACTTAGACTTAGACTTCACTTTATTAATCCCTTTGGGATGACTCCCTCAAGGAAATTGAATTTCCAGCAGCTTACAAAACACTTATAAAAAAGGTAATAAAAAAATACAATATAAGATAAACAATAAACTCTTAGCTAAATATAGAAAGTAAACAATAAACAGTAAACAATAAAATCTTAGCTAAATATAGAACATAGAGATAAGAATAAGAGTAAAATAAAATTCAAGTAAAATAAAATAAAATAGAATAATGTAGAGAACTGTATAGATACATAAAGATAAATATACAGCACTGTATATGGCATTGTGTTATTATACAGTGGATAAATGACATTAGCAGAAATTAGAAGTTAAATTAAATTATTGCACTTAAGCGGTGGATTAAGTTATTGCACAAAAAAGAAGAAGAGTGTCCAGGTATGTATGTGAGTAGATTATTATTGCACAGTGAGTGGCTACCACTCCTTCCCTTCTGTCCTCTTTACCCTATTTCCTCCTCCCCCCGAGTGAGGAGTTGTAGAGTATGATGGCATGAGGGACATAGGAGCTCTCGAGTCTGTTGGTCCTACACTTAGGAAGGAGCAGCCTTTCACTGAACAGGCTCCTCTGGTTGCTGATGACGGTGTGCAGGGGGTGGCTGGCATTGTCAATAATGTCCAGCAGTTTGTCCACTGTCCTCCTCTCTGCCACCGTCACCAGTGAATCCAGCTTCATGCCGACCACAGAGCCGGCCCGCCTGATCAGTTTATCCAGTCTGGACGTGTCCTTCTTGGATATGCTGCCCCCAGCACACCACAGTGTAGAAGAGGTTGCTGGCAACCACAGGCTGGTAAAACATCCACAGCAGTTTTCTGCAGATGTTGAAAGACCGCAATCTCCTTAGGAAGTACAACCTGCTTTGTTTCTTCCCATACAGGTGGCTGGTGTGTGTGTTGTCCAGTCCAGTTTATTATCCAGCCACAGCCCGAGGTATTTGTATGATTCCACAGCCTCCACCTCAGGTCCCTCTAGCAGGACTGGTCACGGTCTTGGTCTGGACCTCCCAAAGTCAATGACCAGCTCCTTCGTCTTAGAGGTGTTGAACTGTAGGTGGTTAGTGTGACACCAGAGAGCAAAGTCCCCCACTTTGGCTGAGGAAGAGGCAGACTCCGATACTCCTCCTGTCTGTCACCCCTGATGCACCCAACGATGGCTGTGTCATCAGCGTACTTCTGTATGTGACACAGCTCCAAGTTGTAACAAAAGTTCAAGGTGTACAGGGTGAAGAGAAGAGGGGCCAGCAGTGTGCCCTGGGGGGCTCCAGTGCTGCTAACCACAGTGTCAGACGTGGTGTCCTTCAGCCTGATGTACTGTGGCCTGTCAGTGAGGTAATCGTAGATCCAGTCCACCAGATAGGGATCCACCCCCATCCTGTTCAGTTTGTCCTGAAGCATAGGTGGCTGGATGGTATTAAAGGCACTGGAGGTCCAGAAGAGAATCACTGTGCCTTTATCAGATGGGAGGCACTGGCAAACAGGCTAGTACGCAAACTGCAGGCGGTCCTGGGCGTGTTGTACCTGGGGTCTGAGGAGGCTGAGGAAGAGCCGCTCCAACATCTTCATCAGGTGTGAAGTGAGTGCCACCGGTAGGAAGCCAATCAAGTGGCTGGGCCTGTTCTTCTTCGGAACCGGAACGATGCAGGATGTCTTCCAGAGGGTGGGCACTCTCCCTAGCTGCATGCTAAGGTTGAAGATCCATTGTAGTGGTTCCCCCTGTTCTGCAGCCCAGGTTTTCAGTAGTCTCGGACACACTTTGTCCGGGCCTGCTGCTTTCCTGGGCCAGAGCTTCCTCAGCTGTCCTCTGACCTGGTCTGTGGTAATGTGAGGCGGGGATTGTGTTGAGGTGGAGGGGGGGGGGGGGGGTGTTGTGGTGTCTGGGGGAGGTGTGTAGAGGGAAGAAGGAGAGATGGCTGCGGTGAGGGTGGGGGGTGGGGAGACAAGGGCTTGTTGAACCTGTTGAAGAAGTCATTCAGCTTGTACGCCCTCTCCATTCTCTGGTCTCTGTGTTGTGACCTGTGATGGTCCTCACACCTTCCCAGACCTCCCTCATGTTGTTCTCCCTCAGCTTCTGCTCCACCTTTCTCCTGTAGCTGTCCATAGCTTCCCTCACACAGTGTTTCACCTCCTGCTGTGCTGCCTTCATGGCCTCCCTGTCCCTGCTCCTGAAGGCAGCCTTCTTCTTGTTGAGGACAGCCTTGACTTCCCGCATTACTCATGGCTTGTTGTTAGGGTAACAGCGGACAGTCTTGACAGGGGAGACCACATCTGCACAGAAGTTCAGGTACTCTGTCAGACAGATACTCCGTCAGACAGTGTGTCATCCCCCCTAACCCTAACCGATCACATCCCAGACTTTCCATCTCAGGGGACCACCTCCTGATGGTGCGAGTTGTCACCGGCTGTTTTTGGACCAGGGGGGTGTACAGTGGCTGTAGGTGAACCAGGTTGTCATCAGACTTCCCCAGTGGGGGGAGGGGAGTCGCTCTGTATGCATCCCTCACATCAGCATGACAGCAAGTGAACATTTTTTCCTCAAAGTTGATGTTTTAGAAGCAGCAAAAATGGGTGAGGATTTGAGCGACTTTGACAAGGGCCAAATTGTGATGACGACTGGGTCAAAGCATCTCCAAAACTGCAGTTCTTCTGGGGTGTTCCCGGTCTGCAGAGGTCAGTACCTATCAAAAGTGCTCCAAGGAAGGAAAAAAACCAGAGACAGGATCATGGGGGGCCAAGGCTCATTGATGAACGTGGGGAGTGAAGGCTGGCCCGTGTGGTCCAATCCAACTGACGAGCTACTGTAGCTCAAACTGCTGAAAAAGTTAATGCTGGTTCTGATAGAAAGGTGTCATACAGTGCATCACAGCTTGTTGCCCAGTTCTTTAAAGAAAAGTTTTCAAACCATGACACCAAAGCTACTGGCAGGATATCCATGAAATTTGCTGTGAATATCTATGGTACCTATAGACGATTTTATAGGTGATCCCCCTGACCTCTTAAGACACTATAGCCTTTATTGTAGTCTTTTTTTTTTTTGCTATTTTGACTTAGAACAAGAGATTATTTACTTCGTTATTTGCAATCAGTGTTTGTATGTGTCCCTCAGGTACGGCTTTGAAGGGGTGATCCTGTCCATCTATGGTATGAATCGTTCTGAGCTGGAGTGTCCAGGCAAGGTGTGTAAGTTCCAACAGCCTGAAGAGGTCCTGCAGTTACTGGATGTGGAAGACGCAAAGCTCTACATAGATTTCATTGTCCTGGGAATTTTCTTCATCATCCTACGGCTGGCCACCTACCTTGTCCTCCGCTACAAGGTCAAGTCTGAGCGATAGGTTTCACTGGGCTCATCCTCCAAATCTCAAGGCCCTTCCTCATGTCATTTCAGACCTGGTCTCTTATCAAATGTGGGAATTTGTTTCTTATTTCATTTTTCTCGTTGCTGCTACAAGGACAAAACATACATTCTGATCTGTTGTACTGCCAACAACTGTGAAGGGCAGTGACTGAAGATGCAAAGCAGTAAACAGTCATAATTACACACATACCTGTTTTACCTCAGACATCAGGACTTAACTCCTGCGCGCAAAGCCAGATCAGCAGTGAGGAGGACACAGAGACTGAGCCACATTCATCTGCACATACAATACTTTTCAATTTCCTGCGAGACAGAATCGTTTTGAGAACAAGAGGAAGTGATATACTTATTAGAGTGGCCATGCATGTTTATTCTACACTGTGTACTGCCATTCTGTCAGTGTGGGAGTGTCATGACTTTGGAACACAAAACTGCTCCATTGAGAAAATCAAATACAATGTGTTTACATTGCTCTGTTGGTCCAAAACCTAAGGACAAACTGTTTCACTGGAGAAGTGTGATGTATTGTGCCTGAAGAGTGAACACTGGATGAAAGCAGTTGGTTTGAGCTTGTTTTGCTTTAATTTTGTTGTCATATAACTGAACTTGGGTGACAGATTGGAGTCCCAAAACATTAACTTCCTGTCTATGAAAATCAAATCATTGTTAGATCTAGAATAGTTTTTGAACATTTAATAGTTGTAAATTAAGCTTTATCATGATTGTCTACTGAAATTTGGTATTTTTTTGTACTGAATATAATCTGAAATCTTCAAAATGTTAGTTAAAAGAAAAATTGTTCAGCCTTAATCATTTTATACTGTACTGTATTATCTTTAGTATTATATGCATTATGCAATTATATAAATGTATTTAAGAAATATAGATGAATTACTGTATCATTATTCTTTTGTGTCCACACTACATCCAGTATCTGCATATGCTCATGCAGTCATGTTTGGTGCTATTGTTATCTGAAGTTTCATGTTTTGAATTGTATGCATCTGGACTGCAAATAATGATACTGAGCACTTGGAAAACAACCAAAGAAAAACAATTGTAACTGGAAGTATGCTAACATTTTATTTACAATCTACTGACAGTCTTTCTGTTGTGTGTGTGTGTGTTGTGTGTGTGTGTGTGTGTGTGTGTGTGTGTGTGTGTCTGTGTGTCTGTGTGTGTGGGAGGGTATATCATGATGACTTGTATGTTCATTGGCTGTTTTTTTAAACATATTTTGAAGAACTTATCGCTGAACTGTACTGTACAGCTACGTGAAGTGTCTGATATTCCAATAAACACTGATCTAACTACTTAATTTAAATATCTCAGTTTATATTGTTCACTGAAAACACTATATCGCCTGCGCCCAGGATCACGTTCCTCCACAGAGCAGTGTCCAGGAAGAACCACATCCCTTACTTAACTGTTTCCTTGTGACAAAGAAAGACCTGTGGTTCTCTACTTCCTGAAGTCTGAATCTTAATCCTATCTGTAGAGGTCCAGTGTGTTAACATTGTTGGTTCAATGATAAACACAGTGGCTACATTTGTTGGAGTAACAGTGATTTAAAGGGGCACCAAGCTGGGTAGGTGCAATCAATACAATTGTGGGTATTAAAATAATGATTATCAATGATAATTAAAAATGAATATTAAAAATCAGGGCATCACTCTTAAATGGAAACAATAGCCAATAATGGATTGATTCAGTCTATAAAATACACATAACTATTAATTTGAAATTCTGATCAATAATTAAATGAATGACAACAAAATCATCATATCAAGAAGGATTTGGAGTTCTGCATAGAAGAAGCTGGTATCATCCAGTCTTGTGTGACATTAACTAGGCCAGCATGTATGAACACAAGCATTTATTAAAAGATAATAAAAGCACAAAACATACAAAACAAACAATAGGGGGTGGTGGCTTTGGAGCAGGAGGTAGAGGGGGCCGGCCACTAATCAGAAGGTTGACAGTTGATCCCGCCTGCATGTCAGGGACAAGTGGCAGGGCAGAAGTGGAGCTGGAGACCTCAGGCGGATGACATACGGTCACCGCAGATAGGTGGAGGTCTGGAGGACAACCAAGATGCAGGGCCAAAGAGCAGAGCAACTCTCAAGGAGGCCTTGGATGGTGATGACGTAGGGGGAACAGCTCTGGAAGACAGCTAGGAGGCAGGAGTCAGGACCAAAGGATGAAGCAAGTTTGGAGGGTAACCAGGAGACAGGGCCGAAGAGCCGAGAACCAAGAATGAGGTCCTGGATGCTGGTGACGTAGGGGAAGAACCTCTGGAGGACCAGCAGGATGAAGACCAGACTGGCAGAACCACACCAGAAGCCAGCAGCGAAAACAGAATCATTCAGGAGGCCGGTGATCGAGGTGAGAGCCATCAGGACGCCAGTAACGGAGGCAAAACCCTTCTGGAGACAAAGGCAAAGGCGGAACCCCTCTGGTGGCTGGAGGTCAAGGTAGAACCTCTCGGGAGACTAGTGGCGGAGTCTCTCTGGTGGCCAGTGATGAAGCAGAACGTCAGCACCAAAGACCAACGCCTGGAGTGAGCGAGGGCTAGTGGAGTCAGGGAAACAGAAGACTGCTGCTCATCCCCCAGCACAGGAACAGACGATTTCTGCAGCTCAGCAGAAAAAGGTGTCTGCCTATGGGGAATGAGAAGCAGGCATCTGCCGGACCACTGACGAGGAACGAGGAGCAGGCATCTGTCGAACCAACGATGGGGAACCGGGGCAGATGGCAGCTCAGTAGTGCTGGTCAGCCGAGACTCGAGCAACGAGAGCCATGACGGCCACGTCTCTTTCGGTGGCCTCCAGGGGACCCTGTAAATATGGCCAGGTGAGTGCCCTCAAAAGGTGACTCTTGAATGTCAGGTAAGCTCCTTAAATAGTTAATTACAGTCTCAGATGAATCATGAAGATGTGGATGGCATGCTTAGGACAGAAAGGCAGCAGGCTAGCCAGTTCAGGACTGGCAGGTGGGGAGCTAACCGGATAAAGACAGGAAGGCTGCAGGCTCACAAATCCAAGCTTAGCCAACTGGAGTGCTGGCTGAGGGCTGAAGGCTGGTTGCTAGCAGGCCGAGGCGTGGACTGAAGGCTAGCATGCTGGAGGCTAACAGACTGGAGACTCGCAGGCTGAAGTGAGGGCTTGTGGCTAGCATGCTGGTGGTTAACAAGCTGCAGGTTAACTGAATGGGAATCAGAGGAGGCTGAAGTGACAGATTGAGGAGAGACAATAGGTGGAGCATAACTAGCATTGTATTTCTACCTAACACTACCTACCTAGTAGTAATAGCGCGCATTAGGGCGCATACGATATAGTGTTTTCCGTGAACAATATAAACTGAGATATTTGAATTAATTAGTTAGATCAGTGTTTATTGAAATATCAGACACTTTACCTAGCTGTACAGTACAGTTCAGCAATAAGTTCTTCAAAATATGTTTCAAAAAACAGCCAATGAACATACAAGTCATCATGATACGTCCCGCTTCCAGATCACAACTAGGGACTCCAAAGAACCTGGCTCCTCTCCATAAAAAATCCTCCTCAGTCATTCCAAAATCAGCCCGTGAAAAAGGCAGGCTTAGCTGGTGACTGTCTGCTGGGTTCATGTTTGGCTACTTCCTGTGGAACTGAGTAGTGTGCACAAGGATCTGAACCCAGTTGCAGACAAACAGAGCAGGAACAGTTCAAATGGTTTCATGATGAAAGTAAAACAAAATCTTACCGGGCAAAATCCAAAATCCAAGAAAAAACAAAAACCAAGGAAGTAATACATACAAAATAAGGAAACACGAGGGAGCAAACAGAGAGCAACACAACAAAAGACAAACTAGCACTGAGTGAGGGAAACACAGGCCATATATACCATAGTGAGGGGAAACTAATTAGAAGTATAATTAGACACAGGAGGAGGAATCTTACAAAATAAAACAGGAAAAGAAGTCAAAGGCACAGGAGGACAGAAACTAACAGCAGGAAACTCAAAACCATGACATTAATGTGATGTTTACCGTTTTCCAGGAAATGATGACAGTTGAGATATGAAAAATTGTTTTGTGTGTTGTAACAGCGTGATTGTTGATGAGGCAGAAGTTATGTGTAGTTAGTTAAGTGTTTTGGGGGCATTTTAGCCTTTATTGACAGGGGATAGAGACAGACAGGACGCAAGGATACAGAGAAAGATGTGGATGACTTGCAGCAAAGGTCACTGGAACATTGTCATGCTAAAATGCACAAAAGTGCACAATCTATACATAAAAGAGGAAATATGCAGATGGTTAGTCAAGTGAATTAATATGTTGCATAAACCTCATGTAACCCAGGTTCAAACTTAAAAATAAACTATGAATAATGTAATATAATAAATAACCTGTGAATAATGTAATAATATATATTTTTTAAATTCTTGCTTAACAGATACTCTCAAATCATACCATACAGATACACCATACGGTTTATCCATCTGGATAAAGTGCGTCCACCACACAGTGTGGTAGGAAATTAATTGAAATGAGATTAACCGAACTGAACTTTATCTATCTGTCTATCCAGTATGTGTGTATCTACTTCCATTATATTACTGTCTTGTATTACAGGTATTTGGTCATTGCCTGCCCACTGTGGTACCGCTTCAGACGAACCATCAAGACCTCTGCGTTGTGGTCTGGACTGTTTCTCTTGTCTTTTCCCTTTCCCTCCCTTTCCAATGGAACTGAACTGTAAAAACAGTACTTCAGAGAATGAATTTGAAATATATATACATAAAGTTTATTCATGTACATATATAGAGTGTTCAATACTTTTTTCTTGTGTCATTCCACTGTGTTTCATGAATTGGATTCATTGAATTAGAATGTTTTTTGTATATGTGTAGTTTAACAGTCTTAAACGGAACTAAACTAAGATTTGTAAAAACAGTACTTCAGAGAATGAGTTCCCCATACAACATTTTCTTCTGTAACTTTCGCTTTCTCTCATGTGATGTCTGAGTTGCACAGTATAGCTTGGTTACATTTTCAATACACAAGGATATGTGAATGATGATGTTTGTTTGTTTTAGTAATGTGAGAGCCACAGTGTTTTTATTATTCTCAATTGGTTAATGAAGTTAATAATTTTCTTTTTCTTGTGTTATTCCACTGTGTTGCATGAATCGAATTGATTGAATTGGAATGTAACAATTTCTTCATCTGTGTAGTTTCAGTGAGTTACACCAATGTAAATTTCAGATTTTTCTCTTTCTGTGTGGTTTTTCTTGAAGACTTTGTCAATACATGCACATCACAGCATATAACCCACACACTATTTTTACTTCATTATGTCATGTCTAGGACTTAGTTCTGTTTTCAGGAAATAGGAAAATAGACATGAAAGGAGGAGGGGGAGAAGAGATGACGAAGGGTCGGACTCAAACCCATGGCTGCTGAGCCACAACCCAGCCCTGGCACATGGGGCACCAGCTCTTCCATTAGATTATTCTAGATATTCCAATAGATGTTAAACACTGGACTTTTAAATATGATGTTAACATGTTAGATAGTATCTGACTGTGTAACAGGTTATTTGTAGAAATTTGATTCTTCGGATTTGAAATATATTGAGCACATGTATGAGTATCAGAGTGGATTTTGCTGCAGTGCTGAGAGGATGAAGAAATGTCAGTGGATATTTTGATGCTTTGCTGTGAAACCATGGAGTATTGATACTTAAAGCAGCTCCTCTACACTTTTACGTATGTAGGAAATGCATATATGATAATCACTCATATTTACCATATTTTTCATGCTTGAACCACAACAGGATGAAGCAATTGACTCTGGCCAGAAAGGGCGGGGGTTTCACACTTCCTTATAAGAGGAGGTGTAGATTAACAGCAACCTAGTGCATGTTATCACTGACCACGTTTACTGTTTGGATACAGAGGGAAACACATCAGACGTTGGTGTAGGAAACTCATTCAGGTGGCTCTTGCAGCTAAGGTACATTTCCCTTTTTCTTATATGTTGTGATGATAAGAACTGCAAAGAGTCGTGAAAATGAATAAGACTGAATATTTATGTCAATATATAAAACTGAAGAGACAGCAGTGTTTGATCAGTGTACTCAGTCGTATCAAATCATGTTCATTAATGTACACTGTCCCTATCCAAAAATAAAGCATTATTATTATTACTATACGTGTACTACTTGTGTGCACTTTGCATTTTAGTGATATCACTAAACAGTGCTTGATAGAATGTTAGGTAGTTAGTAAAAAGTAAAAATTGGATTCCTTTCTATAAACTGATCTCTCAAACAGGTTTCACTGTGAAGAATGGAAGATCTCTACATCAACACCTCACAGGACAAAATATATGATTACAGCAACTTCAGCTTTGACTATGAATATCACAATAATGTAGATATGATTTATTATTATGAATATAAAAAACTCCAGTTCATCATGCACGTGGTGACATGCATCATCATTTGCATCGGCCTACCTTCAACCCTCGTGGCCATCTATGCTGTTTATTCTCAGGTATGCGATGACTGACATTTTTGATTTAGCGAAGCCGTATTGTAATAGATTTACAGGAATAATTTAGCTATAAGTTAAACTTTTATAAAGGTAATTGGACCTAAACACTTGCTGTTTACATGTGTGGCTCAATTCCAGCCTTCTTTTAAACATCCAGTGTGTAACATTTAGGAGAATCTATTGTCAGAAATGGAATATAATATTCATAGGTATGTTTTCATTAGTGTATAATCAGCTGAAAATAAGAATCGTTGTGTTTTTGTTACCTCAGAATGAGCTGTTTTTATCTCCAGAGGGAGCGGTTGCTCTTCTAAACCAGAGAGGCAGGCAGATCAGGCAGACACAGCGTGAAAATGCATAAATATGTCTGATTGCAATTTGTGGGCAAAACAAGAGGACATATTTGGGAAAAGGTGGAGTTCAGAACATGTTTACAACTGCTTGTTAACTTTGACCAATGTTTGCCTGCAGGTGCGAAATGATCATGTTGCTCCGATCTACGTCATCAACCTTCTCATTTCTGACCTCATTCAGCTCTGCAGCTTCATTGTTATGGAGGCACAATCTGAGAAGCGGGAGATAGTTGCATTAATTGTTAACAATTTTGGTGTGGCGGCCAGTGTTGGCTTCATGGCGTGTGTCTCCCTGGAAAGGTAGCTATCTGTCTATCCAGTATGTGTGTATCTACTTCCATTATATTACTGTATCATTCTGAAACTCCGTCTTGTATTACAGGTATTTGGTCATCGCCTGCCCACTGTGGTACCGCTTCAGACGAACCATCAAGACCTCTGTGGTGGTCAGTGTCATGGTCTGGGCCCTTATTCTTGTTGTTCTTCTCACTTTCTATTTCTGGGTTCATCCTGAGATCACAGATACCGTCTTCGGCATCTTCCTCCTCCTCCCCCTCCCAGTGTTCATATTCTTCCTGGGTGGGATCCTCAAAGCCCTGTCTGCCAGCCGAGTCCCCTCTGATGAAAAACGACGAATTGTGGGAATTCTGGTTCTGGTGCTGCTTATTTACACGCTACTGTTTCTGCCCAGGATAATCTATTTCCTGACATACACATGGAACTATATCTTTGACATGTTGTCCTTAATGTTTGTTAAACTGAGTCCTCTTGCAGACTTAGTTCTGTATGTTTTCATGAGGAAAGGGACCATTGACAAGGTTTTGGCCTCTGTGTGTTGCAAAATGGACAGCAATGATATCAGCAGTTCAACAACAACAGTATGAATAATGACAACATTTACACAGTCAGCTTCATGTAGGCAGAAAAAGAGTGAGAGAGAAAGGGGAGGAACAGGAGAAATATAATCAAATAGAAAGGACACAGACAAGACAGATACTGTCATCTACTGATACGATTTCCAATAAGACACCTAACTGTAGATAAAAGGAAGTAGTTGAGGTCATAGACTCCTGTTGTATGAATGTGGATGCTAATGTAGGTAGTGGTGGGACAAAGGGGACCTTTAATCATGAACTTTATTATGATGAATCACTTCCTGTCACCTCATCCCGTCACCAGGACAACAGGAGCGAAATGCCTTTCCTCCTCCAACCTGCATCAGATGACACCACACAACAAAGACATTTGGAAGCAGGGAAACAACATTTCCCAGCCTGGCTCACAGGGTCGCCAGCTGATCAGCACAGCACACCGGCAACTCTTCTTCCTCCGTCCTTTGGACTGAACGTACTGGGCATAGACAGTTTAAGATAACTTAACTGCAAGAACAGTTTAATTACTGTTGATGTTGCTGTACTGATGTGTTTTATTCAGGTCATCTGGTCAGATACACACACACACACACACACACACACACACACACACACACACACACACACACACACACACACACACACAATTCAATTGTTTTGCTTTTATTATCTCTTTAATAAATACTTGTGTTTATACATGCTGGCATATTACATTTCGCACAAGAGTGGATGATACCAGCCTCTTCTATGCAAAATTCCAAAGCCTTCCACTTCAGTGGAGTGTGGTTATAGTTATTACTTTAATTATTCATCCCATTTCTAAATTGATCATTTAGTGTAATATATGAGACTGAATCAATCAATTTCTCTTCTTTAAAGGTCTTTAATGTAAATTAAAGTCCTTTTCTATTATCTTTTTATGATAAATCAATTTTGATAGCCAAGATTAATTGATTGCCCCAACATAGTTTGGTGCGCCTTTAAACCCCTGTTAATTTTTTATTTTTACCACTGGTACCAACAAATGGTACCGCTCTGATTTTCATAGCACCTACAATAGAGAGACTCTTGTTTTAGCCTTTACTTCAGTACAGAATGTAGTCCCTCAGCTCATGTGAGGGAAGGTTGCTAACTGCTGGTCTAATGAGTAACTGCACCTCACATTTGTAGATTTCTTCTTCAGCATTCTTTTAAACAAACAGGAGGGAAGATACAAATGTCACATGGTTTACAAACTGACAGGAAGCGATCCACAAACGTATAGTAGTAGTATTACTGTATTTGCTATGGATAAACTATTTACATTTGTAAAACATTTTTATGCTAAATTAAAATCCATGTTTACAAACTAAGTTATGCTTATTGCAAACCGCTCTGGACTTTTATGGATATGACTTTACACAGCACAAATAATAAAATACATGTTTGTGGATAGTAAAATATTTGTGGTTTATAAAGGCAAACTCAGTATAGAAAGATAGGACCAGCTCTCGTTGCCATCACGCATCCTACGTGGACTAACTGTCAGACTTTGTTCAGCAGAAAGACAAAGAGGAAATATTCTGCAAACACTAAAGGACCGTGTGTTGAATTAATACTACAGATTGTATCGTGCAGGGCAAATGTTAGTGATTGATATCAGAGACGCAGTCAGTGTGGTGACACTATAACACAGGAAATCAAAGTGTCACATGCTGTAAGTGCGTGAGAACCAGTGTGCATGCAGAGAGGTCCACTATAGTTCAAACTCCACAAACAAACAATTGAACTGATCGAACTGCCCTATCACATACACAGGTCTTTTGTTTCTCTCTGAACACATTCATATAAACACCTTATGCAATAGTCATCATCAGTATTTGGATACTTGAACTCTTTGAACTGAATGGTTAGTTTGAACTATGAAATAAGCTCCATGCATTAAATGAAAGAGACAGGGAGGAACAGGAAGCCATATAGACTAGTTGAGTATGAATGTGTACTCCACAGCCACCTCTGATCAGTTATTACTCAGCTTTGTAGCTTGGGGGATAGTACAGTCAAAGTTATGTTCCAAAGACAAAGAGGAAATATTCAGCAAACACTGAGGGACAGTGTGTTAAATTAATGCTACAGATTGTATCATTCAGGGGAAATGTTTGTAGTCGTTCTCAGAGATGCACTCACATCTCCCACCCAACACAGTGACACTTTAACGCAGGAAATGATAAAGTGATAACAACACTAAGATATTTGGCAACTGGGAAAATGCTGCAATGCAGCAGTGATGACTTGGGTCATTGGCAACCTTCCTTCAGCAGAGTGTTCACACAAACAATAACAGTGCCTTCACAGTCTGATATTGTGACACAATACATTTCATTTCAACTGGATGTCCATACCTCGCAGACAAACAAAAGGAAGTTAATTACCATTAATATCAAATCCATTTAGTACTAAACCAAGGAGCATGGTAAATAAACCTAAGCAAATACATATAACAGCATGAGAATATCGTAAAGTTTCAATTAAAAGCAAGGTCCCACTACACACACTTTACTAGCCTGGAGTGGTTACACATTTTGCATTTATGCAAAATGCACGGCAGCATAACTTCATTAATTATCTGAATTAATAACCGTGTTCTTCTACACACATACACACACACACACACACACACACACACACACACACACACACACACACACACACACACACACACACACACAAACACACACACAGTCCAGGTTCAAGTTGTTTGTGAACTGGAGAAAAACACAAATGCTAATAGTGAAACCAACAAATAGCCATTGTGGTGGTAGGACTGTAAGTATGCTCAAACTGTCTGAAGACAGTTCTATTATCTTAATATACAGGACAGTTGTACAGTGAAGTTGAAGAGATCTGCTTTGTTTCACTTGTTGTCATTTTCAGTCCATTCTTATGTGTGCCAGACGATTGGCATCTTCTGCTTATTTTCTACTATAATCTTGTGTTAGAGTTTCTTTCAGAGTCTATGAGGTATCTACTATATGTTTCTGTGGTGGTGGCAGTACATGGCAGCCATTCCTGCAGTTGTTGAAGCTGGAGCTGAGATCAGATTCTGTGCGAGTCTCCTGCAGCCTAATGGAACTCTGGTCATGACCATCTCTCTGATCTTCCGTGAGAAGAAGACAGTCCTCTACCGGAGGACTTCCGGCACAGAATTTCATACCTGTGTTCACTTTCAGGTTACCTCGTCACACAGTTCATTTGGTCCACAAAAAATCTTGAAAGCTGAAAACCCTTGAAAGCTGAAATGTCTGCCCAGAATTGACGCCACACACTACAAATACTGTTTCCTGCTATTGTCAGCTATGTTTACTGATGATTTTGAATTTTAAAGATTTAGTCAGAATCAGTACAATAAGGCAAATTCATTTTTGTGAGTTAATAATTCACTTGGCTGGTCTCTGTATTTCTGCCACAGGCTCCTTTAGTACAGGATCAAGAGGTGCAGAATTTCAAGGTAGAAGTACGAGGCAGCACATTTTACTCAGAAGAAGTCAGAAAAGTAATGTTCAAAGTATATCGACCAACTACATTCATCCAAGTAGATAAACCAATCTACCTCCCTGGACAAACAGGTGACTATATACTGATTATCTAAAACTCATCATTGTACAAGTCTTTATCAAAATGATAAAAGTACAGTATTCATAGTATATAGCAGTGGTTCCCAACCCTTTTCCTTAAGGATGCCCTTTTCTACCATTGAGTAAACTAAGTGACATATTTTAAGGATATTTCATATTATATTAAATGCATAACAATAACAGTAGTGAACAACTGATAAACTTTACAATGAACCCAAACAGTGAACACAATAACAGCAGGAAGGTTGTGTAAAACCATTATCAAATATCATGGATGGATATACCAGGGGTATATAGTCTGCTAGCCTTTATCCCAGTACATGCTGTTATTAGCTACAGATCCCCACATGAAATAAGTGAGATTGTATTGTATTACTTTATTAATCCCACAACACGGAAATTCCTTTGTCACAGCAGCATTTACGTGAAATAAATAAATACAGATATAAAAAAAAAACTATGGTAAAGTGGTAAAGCTATGGTATGGTGGTAATTTGAAAACAGAATCTACAACATGATCAGGTGTTGTAGAGTCTGACAGCGGCAGGGATGAAAGACCTGCGGAACCTCTCCTTCTTACACCGTGGGTGTAACAGTCTGCTGCTGAAGGAGCTGCTCAGGGACTCCACAGGGTCATGTAGGGGGTGAGAGGTGTTGTCCATGCTGGATGTCAGCTTCACTAACATCCTCCTTTCACCCACTTCCTCTATGGAGTCCAGAGGACAGTCCAGGACAGAGCTCGCTCTCCTGATCAGTTTATTGAGTCTCTTCCTGTCCCTGTCCGTACTGCCCCCTCACCAGCAGACCACAGCATAGAAGATGGCTGAAGCCACCACAGAGTCATAAAAAGTCCTGAGGAGAGCCCTGCTTACTCCGAAGGACCTCAGTCTCCTCAGCAGGTGGAGGCGAATCTGACCCTTCTTGTAGAGAGCATGGGTGTTGTCAGTCCAGTCCAGTTTGTTATTGAGGTGAACACCCAGGATTTTATAATTATCTACCACCTCAATGTCCAATCCCTGGATGATCACCGGTGTGAAGTGGGATGTTTTCCTCCTGAAGTTAACAATCATTTCCTTCGTCTTCCTAGTGTTTAGCTGAAGTTGGTTGAGCTCACACCAGCTGACAATGTCCCTGATGACCGTCCTGTATTCCAGTTCGTTCCCCTCAGAAACACATCCAACATTGGCTGTGTCATCTGAGAACTTCTGGATATGGCAGAGTGTGGAGTTGTGGGTAGAGTCTGAGGTGTAAAGGGTGAAGAGGAAGGGAGAGAGCATCGTACCCTGAGGGGCACCTGTGTTGCAGAGCACAACGTCAGACACACAGTGTTGGAGCCTCACATACTGTGGTCTGTTGGTGAGATAGTCTATTGTCCATGCAGCCAGGTGTTGGTCCACTCCCACACTTTCCATCTTCACTCTGAGCAGTGACGGCTGGATAGTGTTGAAAGCACTGGAGAAGTCAAAAAACATGACCCTCACCGTGCTCCCGCTGTCCTCCAGGTGTAACAGGGATCTGTGCAGCAGGTAGATTACTGCGTCATCCACCCAGGTGTTGAAGATGGCAGGCAGAGGAGTGGAGGGGCAGGGGGAGCTGGCCAGGGGAGTTGTGAAGTGGGAGCAGGGTGGGTGAGGGAGGGAGAGGAGGCAGAATTAAGAAAATGAAAATGTTGAAAAGAAAATTGAAAATCAATACATGCACAGGGTAAAGAGAGGAAATAGGAGGGAGGAAGTCATTTAAGGTTTGATGACACAGGTCTTAACAAAATGCTCCTATTGCAAAACAACAGAAAAAGTGGATCATAAAATACCATAAATATGAGGAACAGGTAGAGAATCATGGAACATGGAGGGAATACTGGGGACAACTGGAGAACAGGTAAAGGATTCCCAGAAAGCTGTAATAGATTTTTTTTTAAAGATACAAGGCAGGGTCTATAAGTCGGAGTGATTTAATACATTTTTTTTTGTTTGTTTGTTTGTTAGTAATGTAAAACCCATGCCTGCGTACTCCAGCACAGTGGGCACCTTCAGTCAATGATTGCAATTTTCCATAAAACAGAGAGAAGAAGAAGAATGAGCACAACTGTGAACATCTGTCAGTATACACAGTCGAGTTAATAGGAACACTGTTAGCATCAATCTGAATCTGAATCATCCTAATATAGTAATGGCTTCTGAAAGCTTATCAGCACTTTCAAGAATCAAATCAGGAAAGTCATCCTGCAGGCAGGATATATTCATCTTCAATTCAAACTATATGGGCTACATTATAGAGGACTGGATCTTTGGGTTTCTGCTCATGTGGGGGTGGAAGGAAATGAGCAGGTAGATAAATCTATATTAGCAAAACAATCAATAAAACAACAGCACATTTATATACAAGTACCACAAAGTAAAGCAGAAGTTAAAAATATCATAAAGGATCATACATGCAAAACCTGTAATACCTACAGTATCAGTAACATAGAGGCATTGAAAGTACTGATGAATTATTTAAGAATAACGGCAATTATTGAGAGGATTCTGTTGTTGTTTTATTTATGTTTTTGTTTGTTGTTGTTTTTTTCCCCCTGCCAATCTACTGGTCTACGCTCCATTCCAGTAGGTGGCGGTAAAACACTTATAAGCTGGTTTGGCCACCGCCATTAAAACCCGAAGAGGAAGAAGACCACCACGTCCGTGTACAGTGGGTAGTGGGTATCAGACGTTCTCTGGTAGTGGGCAGTGGGTTCTGAGTTGCTGGGTGACTTCTGACAGCCTTCACGTTCACAGCTCACAGTTCACAGCTCACAGCTCCAGTAAGCGTTAGTCGGTTTGGTGTTGTAATGTAGGAACTGTGACGTGAACAGCAACTAGCTTGGTTAGCTAGCTTACTAACTTAGCTACCGTTTGTCTGCGCAGTGTTAACGTTCTGTCAAGCTAGCCACTGACAGCTTATATAATAATAATAATAATAATAATAATAATAATAATAATAATTAGCTAACAGCGTAGGTCACCTGAGGATAGAGACAGGAAACACCACAGCGTGTGAACATGAAGTTACAGTGACGGTATATTTAAAACACTTAATGTCCTGTCGACATAAAGTGGTGTTAGGTTTCTGAACTCCTTTCTTTGGAGATAAATGTAACGTTATATATTGTTTGTTTAGATTTGTTGTTGTTTGTACCACAGATGTGTGACGTTTAACTACCATGGTATAATAAATCCAAACCCGACATCTTTCTACTATTCTTCTATCACTTCTATTTGACTGTGAGGCAGAATATAATACAAATGAGTAAATCCTGGAAAGAATCCCTGCAACTTCCAGAGAGGGAATATATTGTTTTATGGTTAATCCAGAATTATTGCCACTAACCTGAATGAGCACTTCATCTCTATTTCCACGCAGCAGTTAAACCGAAGGAGGAGGGGATGCCGCCTTTAGTTGGAGCAGAGTTGGTCCAGACGCCAGTGCAGCTCTACCGATATCTCCTCAGATGTTGCAGGCAGTTACCATCCACAGCAATGCAGCTGCATTATCGACATGCTATAAGACAGGTGAGGGCATCACATGCGTCAACTGTTGACGAGCAAAATGACATTGTATTGTGTAGAATATTGCTCACAAACAAGTCATTTCAAAACTTACAAACAAGAGACTGAGCTACTGACCAGGGACAGTTTTTGAGATGGCTGTAAACAAGGACAGTTGGTGGACAATAGATAGAACAGTCTGATCTGTTAGACAGTCAGTCCTACAGTCAGTGTGGTTAATGTTCTTTTCTTTCTGTGCAGTTTTCTGTATTTATGGCATGCTGTAGACATGCAGTGTTTCTGCCATTGTCCCTGAGGCACTGACAGAAGATCGAGAGTTTTGGCTGCTGTTACCTGCTCTCCCAAACAGTACTAATAGTAATTGCATGTTGCGCTCTGCCCTGCTCTCCACAAAGTGTAATGAGACCTAATTATCCAGTGTAAGAATAATTCCGGTTGATTACAACTTGAATGTCAGTTTGGTAGATTTGTCCATCCTCTAACATTTATAATAACACTGAACTCTCCGATGTCATTGCTGAGATCAACACATTGCTACAGCAAGGTCTGCATCAGGAAATCTGCTACTGACTTTGAGTGTAATGTTATTATTTCTGATAGGGAGGATAGGCGAATGGATTATTTTCAGTCAGTTATTCTGGCAATTCTTTTCTTCATTAATGGATACATTGTTTGGTCTTTGTCTGGAAAATAGGGAGAAATACCCATCACCCGTCGCCTGTGTAAACCTAGGTGCGTATTTAGTTTGAAACTCGACTGTTCACTTCAAAGGCTCACCAGATGCAAAGTTTTCTTTTTAATGTTACAATTAGAGGGAAACTAGTAAACTGTAGTCGATTTGTGCTGTCCTGGAAAAGGATTTGTTAAAAAGAGAGGGAAACCTGCGTAAACTGTGATGGCACAGTTAAAGGTTCCCTGTGGAGGGACCTCTGTTGGCACTATGGAGCAGGTGTTTCCTGTGCAGGGTCTTGATGCACTTTCCTACTAATGATTGCACAATATCCCAGTGATCAACAGGTGAAAGATGTGGAGCAATGTGCCAAAAAGGGCAGGGAAGAAGAAGACTGCAAGCTCGTGAACAATTCAGTTTTTAAAAGGCTTTTTAAAAATCTCTGAAACTATTAACAACCAAAGTGCCTAAGAGATGGAAATGTCCATCCCTTCTCCTCAGTAGACATACTGGCAGTGACCTTTGACCTTTCTTCCATAACCATACCAAACTCTCAATGCACTGGGTGTTTTTTCTGGATATTTCTGACATTTTATGAACTTCATAACAACCAAGAGCAATAAATCACACACCGTTAATGTGTCATCATTAAACCTGCTGCATGTGCTTTTCCTAGCTGGGAAATATTTAGAAAACCTCTGCCGAATGCTGTTGATGCTCCATTATGAGCATCAACACTACATTTATTACCCTGACACTTTGCTTTTGCCTTCCAGGGTTACAACAGCCACTCAGATGAAGACAACCCAGAGAGGATACAGATGATGATCCAAAGAGCTATTGCAGACGCTGACTGGATTCTTGATAAAGTAAGGATGAGGGCCTTCTGAACTTCCAGTTGATGCACAAATAAATACACGCTGCAATTTTGACTTCTCTTTTTGATTCACAGTATAGCAAGAAGAAGTGACGTCCACAAACCATGAATGTGTCCTCCCTGGGTTTGGCACTGTACGACACTGCAGCCCCTGACTGAAGTGGTAATGGATGTACTGTCTGAGTTCTCATTGTTGTGGGGACGTGAGCCCTGTGTGTGAACAGCCATGATGAAGCAACGTCTGACGAGAGGCCTCACGACTCATGGACTGTATGGACTGCACTGTGTACAATGACAGTTCACTGTAATGTTCAAGTCTACCTACTTCTCATTGACTGAGATATGTACTGCTTTTCTTTTTAGATAAATTATTTATCAGTAATTATAGCCTAGTTGTCTTATTCATATCTTATTGTCGTATCCTCAACTTTAGTTACATTTTAGACATGAACTGATACTCATGAGACCACCCTTCAGTTTTTCGAAATCACCACCCTTCAGAGTAACAAATGGTGAGGCGTCCGGTCCGTCCTGTGAAAGGAAAATAAGAAAGTAAGAATTCTTATTTAATTTTATTGGTAAAGTGTGATGAAAAACGGGTGATTTAACACAGAAAGACGATACAAAACCAATGATGAAACAATGGGATAAACCTTACATTACATCAACTCTCAGAAAGGCAAAAGTAAGGGACAGGCATGGGGTAATATATATTGGTTTCTGTGTTTTAGCTGTTTGTGTGGGTGGGGGTATGTGTAAACAAAAGCAAAGAAAAACTACTAATAATAATACCAATATGACTGCTAATGATGACAATAACAGAAAGAACGATGGGGAAATGAGGGAAAGAACAAGCAGATGTATAAAAGTTACAGGGAGGCATTGAAAACATTGGGGGGTTTTTTGCCTGTTACAGGAGTCCACCGTGTTGAACCTCCATGTTTCTACAGCAGCCCACAATGGACAAACCAAACACTGGCTGTAGATAGGGCCTTTCACATTCGGCCACCACAGTTTGGAAGAAACAAAAAGAAATGGTACTGAAACATGACATTTTTTTTAAACCGTGGACCTACTTTGTGTAAATAGGCTTGTTTAGCTACTGTCAGCTCTGTAAAACATCGACATGGAGAGACTTTTTCAGTCCATGACTTGCTGAACGTTTAATTACCTGTGTGTGCATGAGGACCACCCAACAGTATCAAAGCTTACAGATATCAACTAATCTGTTTTGAAATGTTAATAGAACAATGTTCAAATCTGCTCACCCACCCCTCCAACATGTTGACAGCAAAAATGACACATTTTATTGTGCAATATAATAGTGTTTATTCAAGTATAACCCTTTGTTATCTAAATTAATACATCAAAGACAATGATACACATAACTGATAGAAAGAGGAAAGGTATTTGAAAAGAAGATAATGTATTCCTCGTGTGCTTTGCCCTCTAACTGGCTGTATCAGAAGAATGGAAATCAAATCAGGATGTCAACGTTTTTTCTATTTTCTAAAACCACAATGTATGTACAGGTGCATGCACGTGCAGTATTTCAATTGATACAAAATGTAGTAAAACTAGATATACAGAGTAATTCTTCAGTATAAATAGTATAAATAATATTCATTTGTATAAATAGCTCCATCTTCTTTAATGTTGGTCTGAGATGTTGAGACATTTGGTGTGAAGCCAACGTCACGTTCCAAATGTATTCAAGCTCACAACACTGTAAACTGTCACACCAGCTGACCGGGGTGGGGACCACTACGGTGGTCAGCCGGCTGTAGGTCAGAAAGAAGGTGTAAAGAGGAGGTGTGGATGTTTTAGGATGATGTTGGAGCTTTTGGGATTGCTTCAGAAAGAAAGAGTTGCAGCAGAGTAATTCTCTGAAGGGGTCATCGCCCAGAGAAAACAGGACAGGCACTCTGGAAACATGGTCGCAGACGTCGTACATTTTCCGCTGTCTTGGGTACGTCCTCACTTCTGCAGAATAAACTGGTCGATGAACTCGTTCTGCTCTGACTCCACTTTGGACAAGGCTTCATACTCAATGCGATATCTGAAACAAGGAAACGTAACAAAGCCAGCTGTAAGCAAGCAAAATAGCAAAAAAAAGATCGGAGTGGCAAAAGCTGGATGTTCCAACCATTTATCCATTACTTTCAGCGATCTAGTTCTAGTTTATCCATTACTTTTGCTAACCAAAGCTGTGCTCCATTTAGCTGTGCTGTTGTGCCAGATATGGCACAGTGGCAAGGATGGGGAAACCTGCTTAAATAGAGTGCACACAGTAGGTGTGAAGCTGAAACTCTATCACCTGATAATCAAATAATGGCAGCTGCTGATGTAACAGTTCTTGTCGAGATAAGTTTAAGTGGACTGAAACAGGCATGTATTACCTAGGGCAACATTATAAACATCTTAAACCATTGACCGTTAGGGTTTACACAACCATCATTCAAGCCAAACTTTTAATTGACCTTTGGACAGCTTTTAATTGTTGGCTCAGACAGTATAATACTGTTACTGCTGTAATAGTGCTGTTGGTACATGTGGAACTTTTTGTTTACTTGCTGTACGAGCCATTAATTCAGGAGTGAAATTTACTTATTTTGTGTGCTGAATTTAAATGGACAGGAAACCATGACCTCCACCCTCGCACTTTCACCTCTCAAGCTGCATCTTCTTCTCGGCTATGAGAGCCTGAAGCTGCTGCTGCTGAGCCTCTCTTTGCTTTGCCACCGACTTCAGCAGGTTCCTGGCTCCAATTGCCTGATGAAGAAGAACACAGGATTATTACTGCAACACGGTGCTGCTCTTGTGATACTATACAGTATACCTGTGTGACAACTAAGGTGGATGGGTTCAAGAGTTCAACCACATACAGGGGTTTCAAGCAGCTTTAGCATTTTGACAACTATTTGACAAGCAGCTACAAATGCCAAGCTTACCTTCATCTTTTCAGTCTCCGCTTCTTTTGCCAACACATCCACCAGCTCAATCAGACCTCCCACTATCTTCTGAAACTGGCCAATTTCTGCAAAGGATAACACATATTTGTACCTCCTGTTGGGGCTGTTGATGTTGGACTTAATGGACTTGACAAACTACCCAGTGCTTACTGTCCACAAATTCTTTACACTCCTCCTTGAGCTCTGAGGTCTTCTGGCTGACGTCAGGCTCCAGTACCCGAAGCTTGTTGAGCTCATCAAAATAAAAGCCTGCCTCGGCTAATGGGTCTTTAGCCATGGCCACAGGGCCTGTCACAGAGGAGACATAGAGGATGAGGGATGAAGAACAGAAGAGAGAAAACTAACAGAATTAAAATATAGCTTGGACTTGCTTGCTACCCAGTGAGAAGACAGGAGAAATGTCTGTTAGATAAGTTTACACTGAAATCAACAGGCTTTACAGCTTGATAACTTAATGCTGACAAGTGGTTTGCTATCAGACTCCCACACAGTGACAGTACGTTCTGCGGACAGTGTGTCTGTAGCTCCAGTCTGGTGGCTGCCAGTAATGTTAACATACGGCCAACTTGCTGATGCAAAATAAACATTTCATTGAACTCTGACCTCGATAGAGGAGGCCACCATATGGCAAGACAAGCCAGTGCTTCGTTATGGCTTGTACCTGTATTCAATAGAGCTGTAAGTAAAACGTAGCATTAGCTAGTTAAGCGTTAGTGAGACACACAGCTTTAACAACTAACGTTAGGTGTCCTCAAAAGATATCTGCTTTATTTGAACATTAGCTAGCTTATAAAGTAACGTTATGTTACCGTTAAGATAATGACCTAACTTCACCAAATGAATAGCACTGTAAACGGTAGTCTAAAAAGCTTGAAACAGTATCGAATAGTTAAAACGGTTCACATACTTTCAGGTGTTTTTCCTGTCTGACCTTAACGTTACCTAAAATGACTTCAATTAACTCAGCTAGGAGCTAGTTAGCTAACGTTAGCGGCATTTCGCCAAAACCTAACGTTAGTTGGACACCGACTTTAACACACACACTACCCACGTTAAGGCTAATCAGGTTCCGCAGATAGCCAACGCTACATTAAACCATATCCAGCTGCTGTAGAGACAGAAAACTGTATATTTTACCTGTTTCAACCGCTATCGGAGTTAACGCAGATGGCTCTGTGTTGTGTGTCTATGTGGCATAGCAAGTCAACCATCCGCCAGAGCTCCTCCTCCGCCCGCTGCCAGGGAAACCGAATGCTGCGGCCCGTGTTTGTACGTATCAGTTTAATTTGAGGTGCTTTTACTTTGAAAATAAACCGGAAACATTTTTACCGTAATGTAGACAATATAACGACTGCATAAAACTAAGTAAACTAAGTAAAATATTCAAGCTGCAGTGATGATAGTCTGTAGTGGACAGTGTTGGGCTAGTTACTCAAAAGTAATAAATAAATATAAAAATATTATTACTGTATTATTATAGTAGTAGTAATTAGTTACTGCTCAAGACTGGTGGTGGACTCAAAGCATGAAAAGACAACCTGTTTGGCCATAAACTCTACAGACATTATGTGTCAGAACTTAGAAGCATGTAAGCTTCTGTGTTGTCTGTCCTTTTAATTCATATGATTTATAAGCTGTGCCCCAATGGTTTTCTTTATGTTTTTTATAATAATCTTTTTATTGATGAAAATACTGGCAGGGAACAATTGTTCTGTTTTGATTTACATATTGTCTCATTTTGATTTTCACCCTTCTTTTTCGTTTTCCATAAGTAAAACCTGCAACAGTTCTTTTTACTCCAGCAGCGTCAGCAACATGATCCTGATAACTCAGTAAAGTTGCTTCTTGGAATGGACCTCTGTCCTGACCGTAGCTTTATTCCATTAAGAGGCTCCATCGTTAGCCCGGGAGGAACCAAGTGAAAGTGGAAAGTGTCCAAATGTTTTCCCCAGGAAAACTACACGGATGCAAAAGGATACGAAAAGGTTCAAATTATTTTATTCTCTTAGAGTCTGCCCATCCCTTCTTGTGAATGAGGAATTTTCCCAAAATTAAAATTAATGGTTCAAAAAATAATAGCCTTTTCCTTACCTTTTTTTAAAAAAAATAATCATATAATGTTGCACTAAAATATTCTGGTATACATATAGTGATAAAATAAATGACAGCCAGTTTCTTCTAGTTCACAAAAAATACAAGAATATTCAATATAAAATTTGAATGTCTGATTTTTTTCTGGATATATTAGATGCATGATAACCTCTTTGACTTTATTACTAAAACATTTCCCCCAGTAATCAATTCTGGAAATTCATTTCTCCATAGAGTGAAGTCCAAAAGAAGCTCTCCTGTGAATCCAGAGTGATTCCCAATGTAACCCGCAATGCCTGTCACTGACTGGTGAGGGCAGCATTGTGTTTCACAACGTAGAGCCTGCCGTAAACTCATTGGAAGAAGAAGACGAAGGAGAGAGTTCAACTTTACATACTTTTTTTTTTTTTCAAATCAAACCTTTGATACTCTTGTGGATTTCTGTCTCGCGGCGATAAAGGCAAAGTTAACTAGCCATACGGTGTCCGGTTATCTGACAACACGTAACGACAGCACGGATAGGTCGGTAAGTAAACGTCAAAGTCCGTAAACTGATGCCCCGCTACGTGTTGTTCACTGGGGTATGTAACGTTAGCTGGGGACGATAACGTCACGTACTCCATTGAAAAAATCTGGCAATTTAATGTGGCTTTTCTTTACACAGCTGAAGAACTTAAAGATTTTACGTTATAACAAAGGCGGTTTTTGTTCAATACGAAAACAACAACTCAGAGTTCGATACATGTTGGACTTGTAGAAGAGGCCAGTGTGTCTGGTTGTTCTGCGTTCGTAGTGAAAGTTTGACCACCCTATTCAACATTAGCTAGCAATTAGCAAAACACACCCACGCAGGAAGTAGCGGTAAGGTTAACAGAGTGACGCAAAGCGAATATAACATAATTACAGTATTATTTTGTTGTAATACAGCAGAGTGGTGGAGTGTCTATTCGACGAACTGACCAGAAGACCATATATATTATCACTTACTAAAGTAGTGTTATACAGTGTTAGTGCTTTTGCCTGCTAACAAGAAAATATTAAAACGGGCAATATTTTAAAGGGAGTTCGGTCTACATGCGACCTAACAGCACACGAGAGCTACTTGCGAGCTTGCTGTTGACTCAGTAATAGTTAGCTAACTAAGATAGCTGTTCATTTAAGTAACAGCGAGTTCACTTACTATAGCTAATGTGTTCGGTTATCTATTATTCACCGGTCAGGTCTCTTTCTATGGATACTTTATAGAGATTTGGCGTGTAGCTAAGAGTTTAAGACAGTTAGCAGACAGAAAGTTATAACCCTAATCTTCGTTTGCTACCACCGCTGTACATCATATATTAACACAATTTAAGCATTTAATGTGGTACTTAACGCTGTCACACTCATTCTGTTCAACTGAGCTATGGAAATCTGGTAGAGATTGCATCTGCGAAATTTATATTTCAAGATAAATGAGCTTCCTGCCGTTATAGATATGGTCATAATTTGTCCTTTTACTCATTGATATGTGCCCCCTCCCTGCCCCCTCCCTGCCCCTCTAGTTTCTGCCCAGCCACATTCCATTTAATGGGAAGGGGAGCTGAGGGAAAGATAACAGTGGGGTAGATGGCTTCCACTGTTGTGATACTCGCCTTCGGCCACTGGGCGTCCTGCTGTACCTGTGAAACAGTCTTTTATCAGCGTTGTAGTAGCTCCATATGAATTTTTAGCTCCTGATGTGTTTTGCCAGGAATGATTTGGAGCAGTGAGAGGTTGTGGCGGCCTCATCAGTAGCTGTCACCACGGCGGGGGACCTTCGGACCTCCGTCTGCAGGGTGGTCATCTACCTCCAAAGGGACATGTCCGGGGACAGCTGCCTGCCCCAACATCACACCCAGTCTGACTGCACCTCCCCAACCCCTCCTCTGGCCTGTCCCAAGACCAAGACCTGCAGTTATCGAGGAGCGGTGGGCCTGGGCAACAAGTATGTCCGACTCAACGTGGGCGGGAACCTCTTTTACACCACACTGCAAGTGCTGACCAGGCAGAACTCCATGCTGAAAGCCATGTTCAGTGGAAAGAAGGAAGTGTTCACTGATAAAGAAGGTAAGCCGTCTCTGAACACCAATCTGTGAAACTAGCATTATTACCATCACAGGTTCAAATTCAACACAGCAACCTTTAACAGTGACTGTTCAGAGTGTCATGGCTGATGCCTGATGACTATCTGTATACTTAATTAAAAAGTATGCACCAAACTTCTTTTAAGAAATATCACATATTAACAATTCCTAACATGTGCGTAACAACACGAGCTAAAGAGCGTCATATAGCAACAGTATAATCCATAAAGGTAAACTGTACTCAGTACAAACATTTGGTCAGCTCAGCACGCTCAGCCTCTGTTCTAGCTGCACTCTTTCACTGGGAAAAGAGTGTGGGAATGAGAGGCAGACCGATTCAATAATGAACATTTCGCACTAAAATAAATGCTGTTTGGTGGATCAGATAAACACGCCAAACTGAACAGACTCAGAACACCTTTAATTCACTGTCTATTATGTGTGTGTCAGTATCTGAGGAGATTTTTCAGCTGTAAAGTAACCACCTAGTTCACTCTTTCCTGTCTGGTGCCGGAGAGAGAAGCTACCAGTGTCTGCTTTCATTGGCTGTAGCTCGTTGCATGGCTCTCCCAGTTTTCTCCGACATGACCAGATATTTAACCTGCTAGATATTTGTCTGGCATTGGCGATGCATCGGCGAGCTCTTGTAAGGCCTGCGGGTCCTCCTCACAGGAGCGAGCGTGTGCGCCACCACAGTGTTTTTCACCAATGGTTTAGATGTATGTATTTTCAACATGTTCTATACTGTCCATTCAGGTTGGATCCTGATCGACCGCAATGGGAAACACTTTGGCAGTATCCTGTGCTACCTGCGTGACGGTACAGTCGCCTTACCCAAAGGTCGTCAGGCTGTCCAGGAGCTGCTGGCTGAGGCAAAGTATTACCTCATCCAGGGCTTGGTGGAGCTTTGTCAAAACACCCTGCAGGTCAGTCACACAGACACTGAAACATGGAAAAAAAAGACGAAATACCAGACACTAGATAGTAAGAGATACGTTTAGTTTAATCACACTAATTAAACATAAAATCAAAAGTTCAATCAAAAAGAAAATAACTTTGTATGTGATTTCAGATCACAAGCATCCAGTGATTCAGGCCATAAGTTACTTTATTGTAGTGCATTCATTTATTCGTAACATTCTTCAAAATAAGTATATAATAAAAGCAATTCACTGCCAACTCAATGTAGGCAATACTTTGGCACAAATGAAACCTGTTTTGCAAGAAAGTCTCTGCAGGCCTTAAAGGTCAGTGACAAAGAATACTTCCAAAGCAGAGTGGACGTTGGTGCAGCATTTCAAAACTAATTGGGAGATGAAAGCAAAACTTCAGTACACCCTTGATGTTAAGTGGCTCTTTTCAAACGAATAGTCCAAGAGAGTAAGGAGTTCCAGGAACCTAAATAAGGATCTAGATCAAGAGTTAAGCCCCTTTTCTGTATTTCTTAGCATTCCCACTGCATCTGAGGAAAAGTTGGTTAAGATACAATATTTACCCATGATAAGACCACAACACAGTCAGTGAGTTGTCTTCTGTAGTTTACTGCTGTGCAGCTGTTTGACATTTGAAAGGATGTTGGAATGGAGACACTGATCTGCTGAGTATTATCATCGGTTCTGTTTTTAGTACTGGATGTATCTACTTTTCCTACTTTTTTTCCACTTGTTCATTATCTTATTTCCCCCTTTTCTTATCTTCTCATTTGTTCTGTTGTCGGCTGATTAAGAAGTTGGTCACATAACTTTGTTCAAATATCAACATCCAAAACAAAAACCCCATGACTTCCTGGTACCTGTGACAGCCAGTGTTTACTTTTGTCTTTATAAATGCTGTAATCATGCTGTAGCAGGCTTGGGTTTGACTAGTCAGTGATTGTCAGCATTTAAAACTGTCAGCTCCTAAACAGGTTTGTGACATATGACAAGATATTTTACAGTGAGAGGTTAGAGATTTTATCAACCAGGAAACATTTTCACTTCTGTTATACAGTACATATTCACAACTCTGGTTCTTTGAAGCCATTGGTGGCAGTATCACTGGAACTGCTTTCAGGCAGAGGATTTACAGGATATTTTCCTCAGCA